TTCTCGAGTTCCCTGTCTCCTTCTCGTGTTCGCTCTTGATAGCCGTCGTAGTAGACTATCGCTCGACGATGCTTACGATAGTCGGAGGGCGTATGAGACGTGCGCTCTTCCGGATCGGCTAGATCGGTCCCCGTGCGCGTTGGCGCCGGTCACCTGATCGCCACGACTCCCCTGTTGGTTCCTAGTGTTCCGGTGTACGCCCTCATCCGAGGCACGACCAGTATGCTTAGTCATGTATACTACGTTCCCACGCATTGTACAGTACTATGCCGCCGTATCGTCCTAGATCGATATCCAATCTATCATCCTATCCACCATCGTCGTCCTATCCGACACCCTGTCCGTCATCCGGCGTCCTTTCGCCTCTACGGCTCTCTTCGTCCACTGCTCGATTCTTCACAGGTTATGAGCCCTGCCATGCTCTAGCGTCAAGAGCCGCTACCTGTTCGATCCCCACGGCTCTATCTTCATCTTTACTCCCCATCATGCCCTAGCGTCGAGAGCCGCTCTGCGCATCTTCATTTTCATCCACCATCCATCCTCTGCCGCTCTTCCCTCGGCCCCCACTCCTTCATCAAGATTCAAGGATCATCTCCTCCGACATCGGCATCCACATCCCCTGCTCCATCCACAGCACCATCTTCACCATCGCCGCTGAGCCTCTGCTCGCCGATCGGTTCGTCTTTGACATCACTCTTTCTGTCATGGATTGAGTCGTCACCACCCCGCTACGCGGACGCTGTGCCCCGCGCGATCATGAAGACATCGCCGGCATCGCGCGCGCCTCCTTCGGACTGGCGCGCTTGTGCCGATCAAGACGGTCCGGTGCTGTAGGACCACGGAGGGTTTGCGGATCGTTATCCGCTTGGAGATCCACGTTGCAGGATCGGTGGGAGTTTGGCTATTGCAGGGCCGCTGAGATATTCGGTCTGTCCCCATCCATCACATTCTCTCTGCGTTGGACATTCGTTGCTATCATTGGGAGCGGAGACAATCCCGGTACTGTTTACGGTGCTCTTACCTCAGACGTTCGTGCATGTCGATATGACTGCCATAGTCCATCCTCCTACGTATCTTGCTCGGTGAGAGTTTGCGGTATCTATATTTTTCTACGTATCATCTATTGCGTCTCTACCTCGGCTTCGTGCGGGTGGGAGTGTTGGTTCCTAGTGTTCCGGTGTACGCCCTCATCCGAGGCACGACCAGTATGCTTAGTCATGTATACTACGTTCCCACGCATTGTACAGTACTATGCCGCCGTATCGTCCTAGATCGATATCCAATCTATCATCCTATCCACCATCGTCGTCCTATCCGACACCCTGTCCGTCATCCGGCGTCCTTTCGCCTCTACGGCTCTCTTCGTCCACTGCTCGATTCTTCACATCCCCTTCCTCATCCGTCTCCTCGTCTCGGTCCCGCTGTATCCTCCACGTCTCCCCTCGTATCATTGACTCGGACTACCCTACGTATATATAGTAGTACAGGTGTAGGGCGAAAGCTCCAGTGTTCCGAAGAATCCCAGACCTTACCCCTGTCTCTCCCTTCGTGAACCTCTTCCCCCGTGTCGCACCACCGGCCCGCTTGGACCGCGAGCGCGACAACACCCCTGACTCGAGATAAATGAGTCAGCTGGTCCCAAGCATGCGCGCGACATGCCGATGCAACGAGGATTAAGGCAGGACTGCCGCAGTGCTTCGCCGCGCCGCCGATGACCACATCCCATGGTCCATGCGCGGTGTGGACAGAATTATCGCCCCGGAACAGTATGCACCGACGATCTTCGCAACCTCAGTCGGTCACAAGAGCACGTCCGCGTGAATAGCAGAATCCATGATACTGAAGAGCAGCAGAGCAGCCGGCATCAATATCCAGGAGTAGCACCTTGAGCGCAGGAAGGCTGCAGACTCACATGATCACCGCGGTGCGCTCGACCACCATGTCCAGGAGGACGTGCCGAACAGAGGGTTCTGGGATCATCGTGCAAGACGCGAAACAGCAAGAAACGAGCATTCGGTTGTGTTGCGGCTCTAGACTCGGAGGGGGAACTTCGAGGGGAGCTTCCGTAGACGACATGCGCCGCGTGTTTTGGTGGGGACGCAATTGGCTCGATACGCAGGCACCAGCGCCGCATTCTGTCGGTATCGGCGGCCGTCTCTTCCTCGTTTGCTGCAGGCGTTCATGAGCGATATATCGTCTTCTGTTCCCGCGGCGTTCGTTGATGTCGCAGTGGGAGAAGTTCGGGCCCGAGTCACTCGTGCCAAAGGGGATCGTGGTGTTATCCCCCGCGATGCCTGTGGACACGTCACACGGTGCTGCGGCGGATTGACGGACTCATCTTCCGTCGAGGCGGCGGAGCGAAATACGTGGAAGGCGGGACCGTGCAGGTGGAGCGGGCGCGGCTGACCAGGCGCGGCGTAGCCAATAGGATGGGGAAGAAGACATGGCGAGGACGTCCGCGCCGCCAGGATCCGGAGGGGGACGGAAATGCGCGGGAGTCGGCACCAAGCGATACGAGCTCGCGGAGCGCATTGGGCGCACAACGCGCACCCCGTTTTCGTCCTTCGTCTCGTCGAGACGCTGCCCCGGAGATGAGCGTCGCCGTGCGCACGGCAAGCAGATGACAATCTGCAAGCGCCGATGACGACGCGCCTGTTTACGCCCTGCGGACCGGCGAGCGCCGGACACCGGAACACCCGCAGGCCGGGAGGCGCAGGTCTGCTCTTCGTCCACACTTCTCCTCCTCTCCAGCTGTCTCAAGCCTTGCACCTCTTCCCTGGACGCAGACGACACGCTCTTGTTTCCTCTCGTTGGTCCTCGCGTAGCCAAGTTCCAACCCTTTGAGACCAGGGTGAGTCGTCCGACTTAAAGGGTGCGTTTTTTTCAGTTTGCGTATCGTTGTGTCCACAGGTACTGAACACGCTGTCTAGCTATCTCCCTGGCTCTTTATAGCAGATCTAGGCTCCTCCGCCACCTGTCATCGAATCCAGATTAGTATGTATCTGCCATTATCTTCATTCTTTGTCAGGGCCCTTCTGAACTCCGGTTCCGCTCAGGACTGTCGGCCACCTCATCAGATCGGTGACCACCCACTCTCCACAACCATCCGACGGACTGGGTAGTTTGGGCGAGAGCGTCCGGTGGCTGAGGTCAAGAGTGAGTCCACAGCCGCACCCTCTCCCCATACCGTGACCAACGCCTGCCCTGCCCTGTGGCTGATGTCGATTGCTTACCCTCGCAATCGCCGTGTCCTCTCAGACGTGCGCGGTCTCGCTCTTTCATGGTATGGTTACCATCGGCAGGCGATGCCAGTCGTACAGTCGCATGTTCAATGCCTCATCGAAATACAAGACGTTGTCTATGAGTGTCGACCCGTTCAACGTGTACGTCGCTCGGGAATCCCTGGCGGGTGCGCTCAGGAAGCAGCCGAAGGTGAGTTCAGGTCATCCCTTTAGTTACCGCGTCCCGCAGCCGACGCTCCCCTGCGATGTCCATTTTGTCATGCAGTTGCTGACGGGGTTTTTAGCGAACTTTAGGTCTCGCGCTCGGACGAGAGTATGTCGCTACGTAGGCTGCCTACAAGCCGGCGTGGCGGACACTCCCGTAGCCTCCTCGACGTCTCAACCCGAAGTCGGAAGGGCAGTCAATGGTAGCAGAGGAGCTTTCTGCACTTTGGCTCCGCGCGACTACTGAGAGGTGTGTATCGTGCTACGATCGCGTGGGGCGACTTGTGCTGATGATGGTTCCATTCAGTCCGCACCTATAGCTTCTCTCTTCCCCGGTCTCTGCGCAATCACAACTTCTTGCGTTTGCGGCTGCTCCGGGGTCTTTATCCTCGCCTGCCCGTTGGGAGATCTTCATTGTCTTCCGCCACTCGGTCTCTGTTCCAGAACAACCCCGTCGAACATTCCTGTTCGACTGGTCAGAACCCACGAGACGAAGGACCGCTCGGCCAGTCGACTACCAAGAGCCTCCCACGTGCACATGGCAAGATGATCGTCTCGAACAAGGACTATGCCGCGAAAGAACTCGACGCTTCTACTCGCGTCGCGATGCTTGCGAAGGACAACACCCCGTGCACGCTCACTGCTCAGCCGAAGTCCGGCGGAGCGGCGGGTCCACCACCATCGACGCGTCTGCTGCAAGATGCAGAAGCACAAGGAGGGCTAGGGTCATCTCGCACGCCGCGTCGGAGTTCCAGGCACACTCTAATGTGTCCAACGAGTACCGCAGAAGCTCCAGAGTCCTCAACAAGGCCCCACCCGACGCGATGGATGTCGATCCCCCATCTCCACACAACGGCCCGACGACGAAGGACAGCACACAGCTCACGGTTCCGGTCTCTGTCGGCCACTGCGAAGTTGATGTCCCTGTCGCCGGCTTCACCCCGAAGTTCATGGATATCGACGCCCGCTCCCGTCGCCTCCAATCCCCACACGCTACTGCACCCGTCCGACGCGGTTCCGCCCCCAATATCACAGGCTTCGCCCGAACTCGTGAAGGAGGTCCGTCGCGCGGCGATGGGCGTGTCGCCGACTGCCTCCCGCGCACCAGTTGCCGCATTCTGCCTGACAGGAGCCAGCGGCTGCACGTGTTCGAGTGGTGGCAACAGCGGCGGCTCCGCGGGTCCGAGCAGTGGGAACGCGCGAACCTCCCCGTCCTGCGGCCAAGCTCGCCAGCGATGAGCGCATTGGACGGCACTCCCGAGTTCCGTCATCGGAAGGACGGGGAGGTCGTGCGTCAACGTCCTGGTCGACGAGCTCAACCCCTTGTCCCTCTTCGACGCACCCCGCGCCGTCGGTGGGCTATACGGTTGCTAGCTCGTCTTCGCCGCCGCAGGCCGAAGGGTCTTTGTCCTCAGACCTGTCGCTCGCCGCCCAGCTGTAACGGGTCTAGAACTCATGGCGGTCGGAACTCCAGTCTCCGAACGAGTGGCACTCGCCCTCGCCCCCTGCAGTGCTCACCGCTGCCGCGGGCACTTCCTCCCCCGCTCCTGTCCTCCTCTGCCAACGCCAAAATCCGCGGATGGCATTCCAGACCTCGGATGGACGCCCCTCGTCTGACGGCACGATGCGGGTCGCGGAAGCGTCGCCGCCGCCCCACGACGCGCGCAAGCTGCACTCGGACTCGTCGCCATCGTTGCTGTTAACGTACGACCCCGACCCGACCCGACCCGGAGTGTGATCAAGGACGGATGAGCCCCCGCTAGATCCGGCGCTAGAATGTCATTGTTCACGCGCGATCGCCGAGGGCTCTTCGATGGTTCAAGTCGACGAGGAGAAGCGGCGCGGCGGGCGAAGCACCGCGCACACGCATCCGCGTCCACATCCTCAGCGGGACCGTCTCCTCCAGCCCCCTCGACACGGCCGCAGCCCACCGACCCTCGCCGCTCAACGCCAACCTGGGCACGCACAACCCGATGCGCTCTCTCCATCTCCCCGCGTCGCCCTTCGTGCCCCACGCATCGGGCTCCGACCACCCCATGAGCCCCGCGTGCGTGCTGTTGAAGACGCGGAGCGTCTCGGAGATGCAGTCCGGCGACCTCGCGTCCGACGCAGGCGCGAGTCGAGGACGGCAGAGGTGCGACAGAGGAGTAACTACATATCCAATGTAGTGCCATGCATGTCGTACAAATCGCAAGCGTCATGAAGTACCAAGTATATATATATATATATGAGAGTCAGCGTGGCGGAGGCACTCGACGGACGGATCGCTCGCTAGTCGCGACGCTGCTCGTTGACGTCATCGCTCAGATGATGACACGACGGCGCCGATAGACGCCGTAGCCGGTCGCGGCACGCGCGTCGGGCACCCCGTCTCACTTGTACCCGTCGCCCGCCTGCAAGCCCTCCCGTACGACACCGCAGACGGAGAGGAGAAGATGAAGTGTGCCGGTACGTCAGCTCACGCCCTCGTTCTTGGGTTCCTCCCCGCGCGTCCCTCACTCTTGCGCGCGCGTCCCTCACTCTTGCGCGCCCGTCCGTCGCTCCGGTGCGTCCATTTTGATGTGCCCACGGCGATGACTTGGCCATGGTGCCATGGTGGAAGGCGTCGACGGCCGCAGGGTGTTTCTGGAGGGTAGATTCCGCTGGGGTCGTGTTCTGGAGGAATGGGCGCAGCTCATTCGTGCCAGAGGGACTCGAGGAGGCGTGGCGACGGTCCTGACGACGTCCCACAGGTGCAATACACATACTCTATGCCGCGGTGCACGCAAGTTCGGGCTCAAGACGCGCTCGCGCGCAGACATGAAGATCCGGACAGAACGATGAATTCAGCAGGCCTAAAGCAGTGCGCTGCCAGGTGTGTGCGGCCTTGAACGTTGAATCCTCAGCCACCGTTCACTGCGTGCCCGAGAGAAGGTGAAAAGCACCTTCTTGTGTGGTCAGTTTGGTGTTTCACCAACGAAGACGGTCACAAGGTAGTGATGGGTGATATATGTAGGGAATATCCCCATGCCTAGAATCACCAAAGAACTCGACATTACTCACCACGCGACGTTGACCGAGTTCGAACGGCGGGCGCTTCAAACTCGCAGACGTTTTAGATGGGACACTCGGATTCACGCAATCTCTAATCGGCTCGGAGTCGCACCCAAAGTGAAGTGGAGTGGGATATATTACGGGCCGGGCCTTATGGAGGCACATCTATGATCTATCTCTGATCTACCCATTACACAGGCGTGTTGTTCCAGGTGACAAAGTCCGCGGGTTCGTTGAGCACGGATGCGGGCGTGAGGCTTCGTCACGCGTGGGTCGCATGGCAGCGACCACGGCGCTGTCATTCTTCTAGGTTCGTTCCGGGGACACGCGGGCGTCGTGGATGCGTAGGCGTCCGTCGCCGCGTCTGAGAGTCATGCGTCCTCCTTCAGCCACTCCCCGTCCGTCGAGGTGTTGCGCTCCGTGGCGTCCGCGGCGAGAAGGAACTAGGCGTCCGCGTCGGAATCAGCGTCGGCATCCTCGCCCTCCGCATCCGCATCCGCATCCATGGTGTCGGAGGCGGACAACTTTCAGCCGCGAGACGAGCTGCTACCTGTGTTCTTCGTCGCGGCCGTGGGCTTGGGGCGCAGGGAGCGGTTCACAGACAGGCTGGACGAGCTTCGCGCGTGGCCGTTCATCGACCCGTTCGGCTTGTGGGCAGAGGACGGGTGGCGCCAGCGGTCGTAGTCGTCGTCCTGAGGGAGCATGGCAATGCTGAGTGGGGTATGGCTGCGGTGAGATGAGCGGTGGTACGGCGATGCGCCGTTCTCGCGCTCGTAGTCCTGGTCGCGATCTTGCCGGGAGTAGACGCCGCTCGAGGAGAGCCCGTTCAGGCCAGGGGCGCACGACGAGTGAGAAGGGTAGGTGGGGAGGGTGTCGGTCCGGTGGACGGAGCGGTCTGAGCCCGAGTGCAAGCTGCACCCGTTGGTGTACAAGCCTGGGGCTGCTTGCGGAATGCCCAAGGGGTGGATCGCCACAGGCTGGTTGTGAAGGTGGGCGTCCAGACTCATCGAGTCCAACGTCCCGCGACGTTCAACGCGCTTCATTTTCTTGCGGCATCTGCTGAGCGTGTCAGGAGAAAGATGTGAGGGTGATGCAGCGGCGGTTGCTCACCGATCGCAGACGGTGCCGGGGCCCTCAGGACTAGAGCCCCACTTCTCGACGCACTTGCCGTCCTTGTAGCGGCCGGCGGGTCCACACTGGCGGCAGAGGCGTTGGCCCAGGTTGTTGGTCGCGGGAAATCCACCGCCTCCGATGGTGGCCGGATCCGAGATGATGCTCCCGTCCGGACCTGCAGGACAGCCAGTAGAGCGCAAGGTGGCTACATCGCAGAGGACTCACCCATCGCCATGATGCTCCCGTTGCTTCCCAAAACGCCCGGCTTGGGCTTCTTGACGCTCGGGCCGGTTTGCGGAGTCATGAAGATGTGGGTCGTCTGTGTTTGACCCGACAGCGACTGGCTGCCCTGCATGGCCATCCCAGGGTGCTAGAATTCATGTGGATGGACCTGCGCCCGCGTGGCATGTGGTAATCAGCGTGGCTGGGCGACGAGGAGCGGCCGTGCGGACCCTGCAGTTGCTGCGGGGGCATCCCATCCGCAGTCGCAGCGTCGATGAGCATGTTGTCGAGGCTCATGGAAGTCTCGCGCGAACCGCTGCGCGAGCGCCGAGGAGCGTCCATGAGAAGTAGAGCGAGGCCCGAGGGTGTCGAGGCTGAGAGTGGTCCCCGTGCGAGTGGCGGGGATCATCGTGCGGGCGGGTGGGGTAAGAGTAGTGGGGGCGGAGGCCGGGCGGACTCTCCTTGGAATAGAACATGACAAAGCGGGACGCGATGAGCTCCTGGAGAGTCCATCCACGGCTATGCCAACGGCTTCTTCGGAAGGCGTCCCACATCTTGCCTGAATCAGTGTCGACGTCGCTGAGGTAGACGTAGCAGATGGCGGAGACGGCGTAGTAGCGGAACATGGAATTGATGCCTTCCGAGAGCTCGGCACTGCATACAGCACGTGTCGACCCAAGCGTACCCATACCCGAGCTTTTGGGCACGCTCAAGGAATGATCGAACTTTTGGAGTGAGGCGATCGCGTGGGTTGAACCATGGTGGTGACGATCGGTGTGGCTCAGCACGTCCTTGGACGGGTGCAGGAGCAGGGGACAACGGTATCGAGGAGGACCTTGGATCTGAGTCTGTCGAGGGGTCTTGGGTCTCGGATGTCAGCGCGGAGGAGAAAATATGTGCTTCAATTGCGCTCACCTGGCTCGCATTCAGTCCCGGGTGTCCTCCTATCTCGGCGATTCCCGTCGGTGCGATTGCGGACGACGGGGGAGGTCTCGGAACGGCAAGGAGGGGGCAACTCGAGCGTCTGCATGATCTGGGATTCCACTCTACGGAGAGCATCTTCCACGTCTTTGCGAGCCGCAGATTCTTTTGAGATTGCATCGGAGATAAGAGCGCGAAGATCGTGGCGGAGAACGGCCGCTTCTTCAGAGACTGCCTGGGAGATGAGAGATCGCAGCTCAGCTCGGAGCAAGGGACGTTGGTCTTCTGGGAAGAAGGTGCTGTTGGATTCTACGTTCAGCTTTTGAACCTTTTGAAATGTGTCTTCCTCTCCTCCCCAGGTGTGTGACAGGATGGCATATCCTCCACGAACATCTTCAGGTTGAGGAAAGAAGACGAGGTTCGCGCGCGCGGTACCCAGGAGCCACATCGCTTCTATCACGAATATTAGCATGCGCGTGGCATGCGCGGGTAAGCACGAACACCAGGTGAGAGTTGAGGTGCACAGTTCGCGGGAGGAGTACAGACACTTCGGGAGCATGAGTGAATGCGATACAGAGCATCGGAAGAGCGGACGTACAGCGAGTATCCAAGACGGTCGATGGGGTTTTCTGTACTTGATATCGCGGATGGAGTCGATGGCTGGGAGGGGATGTAAGATGGACGAGGGGAGATGTGAGATGGGTCGAGACCGAGACGGTAGAGGGCAGGTCGCGGCGAGAGAGACCGCGGTCCCACACGCCCACAACGCGAAGTTCGAACATGCGGTGAAAGCAGCCGAGAGCGTCGGAGCGTCTCTCTCTCTCCTGAGATATGACGGCCAGCAGAGCCCGGGCCGGCTTCGCGCTCCCGGGGCGTGATGACCTGCCTTTCCTCGAACGTGTCAGATGTAGATATCGATGTCGTGCGTGTTATCCGCTAGGCGAAGCTGAGAGCGCTCTATGTCATTCGTCGAGAGGTAGATGTGGCCCGATACTACCTCGGGGGAATGTACGCACGCCGGTAAGTGGCGCCCCAGATGTTCGACGATGTTTGGATCACCGGAGCAGACAGTAAACGCGCGCGAGTCCCTCCGCACCGCTCGTGGATGCACGCGAATGTGCACAACACGCCAGCTGAGCGAGAAGCGGGGGATTAGAGAGCCGTTCAACGCCGTCTCCCGGATGAGCAAGCGCGGCAGTGGCCGCACAACCTCGGAGGTAAATATGCACTCCTGAGATAGATGGCCAGCTGATCCCACATGACTTGGCACCGCGGTGCGCTCGACGACAACGCCTAATATCGAGGAATACGTACCGAACAGAGGCCCGTTCGGAACAGGCTTACACAATGTCGTGGTGCGGCTCAAGAATCGGAAAGGAAACGGCGGGGAGAAGCGCTTACACACACGACATGTTCCGTGTGTTTTGTGTGGATGGTGAGAGCAAAGAGTCGGAGTTGATGCAGTTCACTCGCGGCGCCCACAGGCACCAGCGCCAACGATATCACGGTCCGCATTCTCCGAGGCGTAGACGCGCATCGCCATCGGGCTCAGCTCCGTCTGAGAAGAGCAGCTCGTCCTCTTTCCCCGCCACGCTCCCTTCTCATACCACTCCCATTGCGTACACACCTTTCCTCAATTGTGCCACGACGCACTCGCTCAACGCGACACCGCAGCTGCTTCTATAGGTTGTGTCGTCTGTGCAACGTCGCAAGCCGAGAGACGGGTGCCAGTGCGCGAGGGTTTTTGTCGCATGGGATATACTTGTGATGTGTCGTTCATCCAAGGTGCGTCTCTCCGTCTGAAACAACTTTCTGCAGCTGGCCAAACTTCTGCTCTTCGCCACAGACGTCATCAGCCCTCCAGGTCGGCCTTCGAGACACGCTTTGAAGTTGGGTCCTTCCATCTTGGCTATTCCAACTGGGCGACGAGGATAGGCGAATCCGGATACACCTGAGGATGGATGGAGGGGTGGAGGCCGTCTGCCGTACGTTTGGATCGTCCTCCTACTCCATACCTGTTGTCTTACGGCCGTCGTTTCTCTGCTCAGGACCCGACGGACCCAAAGATCGCTCACTTAAAGGCGTAATCCATGCACGAGATGGGTGGAGGCGTTTCAGTCGCTATGGTCGATCACGAATAGCAGGATCATGGTGCTCGTGTGGTACGTCCTGCTCCTTGGATGTTTCGTCCGGTCTCGATCTCCCCATACTGCTCCGAGAACACCCTGTTCTGACACCCTCGCATATAGTCGGAGGCAGCGTCCGATATATGTGTGCCTCTTAAAACGCATCGTCCAACCCCCAGCTAGTGCTTCCGTGATCCAAGCCCTCTCACACGCCCCGTGGTATGTCTCCGTTCCTTTTACACCATCTGCGCTGGGCCTCATCTCTACGAGTCTTCGTTTGCAGTTCCATACCACTCCCAGGAACGACGACTCGTCCCCTTCCTCGCGGGCGCCATCGAACCCATACTGAAGCGGCGGAGATCCGGCCGACGAAGGTCCCAGGTGACGGATGAAGTTCTGGGCGGGACGACAATGCGCGGTGACGTACTCGAAACGCCGATCGTGCAGGAAGTTCCCGTCTCTGCGTTGCTTTTCTCAAATGCTGTCCTATTGTTACAACTGGTGAGCGACACACTAGACCATATTTTCGCGGCACCAACTCCCCTCTCATTACAGCCTGTTGCGCGCTCTCGAAAACCTGTCGACTCGACTCTCTACGGACGCACCCGAACTTCCTCCTTGGCTGAGCGTTACGCCCGAATCGATCTTCATGGTGTTGCGAACGCTCGAGCTCCGACTGGAAACAAAGAAGTCGACCAAGCCCACAATGTCGGGCCACGCCCGCCAGAGTTTTCGCGCAAACCCACTCACACCGTTCAGCGGTATACCCGGGGTGGTCGAGAACTTGCGGTCGCGCGTGGACATCAGCGTTGCGCATGAATTGGAAAGCATCAAGTACAGCTTCCTCCGGCTCACGGACAACGAGATCGTGCAGATGGATGTTGTCCCGCCCGACGTTCCGCGCTCGGCGAGTGCACGCAAGTGGGTGAACGACAACATCGAGAGGATCATCGACGTGGTCCACAGACTCAGTCCGGCCAGATTGGAACCCGCCTCACAAGTTGTCGCGACACAACCCTACGCGCCCACAGAGGTGTCTGTCAAAACGAGACGACACGTGGGGCGCCCTCCGACGAGCCTCCTCGCGCCCCACCATCCCGGCTTCCCCGTTCCGACGCACTCAGCGTGCTCGCCGTGCGAAGCGGGGCCGTCCTCACAAAGTGAAGTTTTATAGGATCGCCAAATCGTTCCATCTGCCGATAGAGCTGCACGATCGCCGTCCTGGTGTGGCACGCGCGTGGGAGGAGATTGAGGAGAAAGGCGGGTTGGTGCCAACCCTGAGGCGGAAGGTGATATTTGTCCGCTTCGCCCTGTCTATATTTTATCTGAGGCTTTTGACCCAGGTTGTTTCTCGCTTGGAAAGAGATTGACAGACACATTGCCTATATCGACGGGGCTCCACCAGGCCGATGTCCTCGGCGGAGGACTCCTCGGACTCGAGGCCGCCACAGCCGGGCACCGCTCCCACTACTCGCTCTCCCGCCAGCTCGACACCCAGGGCGGCGACATCTTCCGCCAGCGGATCGAGGGTATGCGCGTGCGCTTTCCCGGCGGGACCTTCGCCGTCCGCGTCTACACCTCCTCCCCTCGGAATCCGACTCCGCGGGCGCGCGTGATAGGCGTCGAGCTCGCGGACGGCACGACGGACCCATGCGACCTCGCGTCTTCGCGATCGGGATCACACCCCGGGACGACGTCGCGCGCGCGGCGGGGCTCGCTGACGTAGATGCCCCCGGATCGTCGTGCGTCCCTCGAATTAGTGGTTCCGCTAGCGCTTCTTCGACCTTGACGCACGTGTTGCTCTGCAGGACGGCCTCGTCGCCGCCGTCGGGAGCCTCCCCGCGCTCCGGGTGCTCGTCGTCAGCATCTTGTGCTACCTCGTCGCGGACCCCCCGGGCGCGCGAACGAGCGGATGCAGCTCGGGGAGCAGTGCACGGAGTTCGAGCTGTATGCGGACAGGGTAGGATGGGTAATCCCGGACCCGGGGTACGGAGGCGGTGGGGTGAGTAGATCTGTCGTTGTACACGGATTTTGGGCTCATTTCGTGTGTTTTCAGGGACGAGATTTCTGCAGAACCGCGCGGCACGGAGCATGTGGCTGGGGAGGTTATCAGCGAGGGTGCCGTGCACGACGAGTTGCGTTCAGAGTAGGGAGGGTGATGTTCGTCGACCCTCCGTATCGTGCCACGCGTGTTACGTTTGGCTCTACCTCTTGCTGTGCTACCATGCGCGAAATAAACATCCGGGTTGTTGTTCATGCCGAGCGCGCCCATCGGGTACACCAAGACCTTGCAGATGAGGCCGAGATTTCGATTGTCCAGAAACGGTCGCCTACATGGGTTGTTTTTCCATGTCCACGCACGGGTCCCCGTCCGCAGATGGCGCAATCGGGGTGTTTGAGACGCATGTGTCCATCGAAGGCTACGACTGTACATACTACATACACGTTATTCGAGGCTCTTCAGATCTTCCCCTGATTCGGGATTGCCGTGTCCTCGGTACCCCGCCTATCCCTCTAGCTCTCTGAACCCTACCGGCTTCATCAGCTCTTCGCAAAAGCGCACATCGGCAGGACAAGACATACCTTGTAGTTCGTCACCCGCTGCCAATTGACCCTCCTCAGCAGCCGCTCCATCACCGTCACGCCAGGAGCCTACTTGTCCGGGGGCGCGTTGGCAACTGCCGTAGCGATCCGCTCGCTCTGCTCTCACAGCGCGCACAGCTCGATGGTGTCGTTCGGGCGGGTGAAGAACACGACGGAGTGGCGTTCGTACTGGGCCTGCTCCCGTGAAGGCGGGCTGGGAAGGGTGTGAGACGCGGGGTATCGGATAGGCACGTCGCGCGGACAAACTCACACGACACAATGGATGTTGGATCGTAGGATGCCGCCAGAGAAGATGTTGAAGGCGTCGCCAATGTTGCAGATCGCGTGTCCGGGTAGGGGCTGAGTGATGAACGACTGCGTGAGCATGAGCGCGGCAGATCGAGAAGGGTCGCTGGCTGACCTTGATGTAGAACCACTGGTCAGACCCGGGCGGGAGCACCTGCAAGCCGCCGAGGCGGCTGTGCAGCAACAACTGTGGAGAGGGACGTTGGTATTACGCGAGGGGACACGCGGGGAATCACTCACCAAGGTCCCAAAGTCCGTGTGCGCCGTCAGGAACGTCTTCTCCGGCCCAAGATACGGCGGCGCCCTGAGGAACCGCGCAATGCATCCGCTGAACCCCTCGACCTTGTGGAGAGATGCGAGCGTGCCCCCAGGGAGTCCGAGCTTGTCCTTGAGGACGCCGATGATGCGGTTGTTGATCGCGAGCGACTTCTTCACAAACGGCGTGATGGTGGACTGCATCAGTGCGTTGACGACGGAGGGATACATGCGGCGCGCGACGGCCGGCCAGGCGAGCGCGTCGTCCTTGAAGATGTTGACAAACTCAGGTACGTCGCGCGTGCCTTTGTCTGCCTTGTAGCCGCGCCGATGCGGAGGTTGGTGCAAAGTGCAAAGGCAAGCGGTTGGAGAGAACGTACCCGAACGAAACACCCTGCTCAAAGAGGAGCTTCTCTTTGAGGGTAAGAGCGATCGTCTCTTCGCCCATCGCAAACATACCTTCCGCTTCCTCGTGTACGCCGTGGTTCATGAGGCTTGGAACGGATCGCCGGTTAGTCGTAACGTTCACTCAAGCACAGAGCAGCCACTCACTACTAAAACCCCGTCTCCGCAGCCTTCCAGAGCCTCAATCTCGTCCGCATCTCGAGCTTTGATACGCTCATAGTCGATCACGAAGAGGGGGCTGGTGGGAACGTCCTGGGGGGAAGGCGGGTACGGTGTGAGACCAGGCATCGCGACAGGTATTCAGGGAATATGGATAGCAGCGTACCTATGCTCCTTCAGTTCATGAGAAGACCAGTCTCGGCACTCCGGACTCCGCGAGAAATGTGCCAAACTTGCAGCATGATCTCATAAATCGGAGAGGGATGAAGTGGCGAAGTGAGAGCAAGGTGCGTCTCGGTGGGGGTTCCGCGGGGCAAGATAGATGTGGGTGTGGAGTGGTTCAGTGGGTGTGGAGGAGGTAGTGGATGTCCGAGCCGAGACTCGAGAACGCGGCGCCAACACACGCGACGGCTGATGTAAGCGATCGGGTCCGACTCGTCGCTCGTGTGCAAGCCACATCTTTCAACTTGTTCTTCAGCCAAGGTGCGCTTCTACTTATATCGATGCCGAACATGCGTGTATGTTCGTGCCACCATCATCAGACTTGTTTTAGCTGACGTCCCCCCTCCGTGTTCAGGTACTTCGTCGCCACAACTACGCATACTTCTTGGAGCACTTGAACGCAGGCTGCGGGACCGCACGAGTGGAAAGAATTTGACGCGACCACATGAGCCACGACTCTCGACAGGCTGGCCGTACGAGCTCCTTGAAGAGCACACAACTCGACCATGTGACATCGGAAAGCTCTCGCGCCCTCCGCAAAGGTCGACAAAGTACACCCACCTAGATGGACAGCGGCGGCGACGCCTCGCGAACTGCGCGTTGCGGAAAACTCGGCCAGCCATGTGCCGCGAACACGAGAGCGGTGGCGTCCGTTGAATCCCGACGCCGGCCGTACCAAAACGCGTGCGAGCACGGTCATAGCGCGGTGCATTGTGGACTAACCTTCCGGAGCGGCCGCCCTCTGATCCTGCTACTCCCCTCGACGACGTTTCACGCGGGCCAGTCTGCGTGGGATTGCGGCCACAAGTACCCAGCGCGACCTGGCTCCCGCCTGCTGCTCGCCGTCGCGCCCCAACCGCCGGACGTCCTCTCCGCCACCCCGCGGCTCTCCATCCTTCACGGCTTCATCCTCTTGATTCCCAACGCACGGGAAAAGACGTTCCCCTCGACGTCCCTCACGACCGTGCATCTTCCCGCCGAGCACACCGTCGTCGTCACGCGCTGCTCCCAATAGTGCGCCGTCTCTTCGACGCCCTCCGCCTCGACTCCCTGCGGGCACCTCACCACCAGGCGCATTCAGCCGCTCTCCTGGTTCTTCATCACCATCTCGACGCGTCTCCGGCGCCCACGCGCGTGAGCCTCGACGCCTCACATGACGACCTCACTCGAGTCGCCACCTCTACCTCCGGCCGCGGGCGCCTGTGATGGCACCCCCGCTGCAACCGCACACCCGACGCGCACGCATTCCCCGCGCGCTGGCCCGAGCGTGGCCTCTCCTCCGCCCCCTTGCTCCCCTCCGCACGCGCGCTGCGCCTCTGCCCCGAGACCGACGCATTTCTCGCGCTTGCCACGCTCCTTAAGCATCCAACCGGCCTCGAAGCCCCTACCGTGCGCCTCGGACTGTCTCCGCGACGACTCCTAGTGGGAGCCACCACCGCATTCCTGCACGCGGTACGAGCCGAGCCGGACGCGGGGGAGGCGGTCTGCTCGGCCCTACGCATGTTCCCGCTCGAGCTGTGGCCGCCGCGATGCCGCGCGGACGTAGTCGCACTCACTTCCCTAGGCCAGGTGGTGGGTATACTACAACAATGGTGAGAATACGCACATGACAGCGACACAGATGGAGAACTGACCACAACACTCGCACAGCAAGGTCATCCACTCTTGAGAATACGATTCTCAGTGTGCGCGGTCCTGAGTGCTGTTTGGGTTGTAAGTGAGTTCATTGGACATTATTGGACTTGTCTCGTACTTACACTCACACACGTCCGTATAACGGGCCTATCGACTGATACACACGCGCTGTCGCCGTACGGTGGAACACACCTTCGAGCAGGCTAACGCCCGCGCGATCATCTCCGCGCTTGGTCCTCGTCTTCGCGCACCTAGTCTATTCCGGCTCGCGCACCCTTCGCTATCCGCCCGCGGATACCACAGGACTACCGCGTGGGCATATAGCATGGGCCCGTCAAGATGCGACACATGCGATCGCACCGCGGCGTCATCCGTGCACTCTCGCGGTCTACACCGCGCGCACTCGACCACAACCACCCGCGGCGCGGCGCCCTCTCCCTCTCGCGATGGCACCCCGTAGCCGTAATCGTACGTCCTCTTTTCACTTGATTGCCTATCAAACGCTCCGGAATATCCACCTTCTTCGTCCCCTGTTCATTTCTCTCTGTCTTGGTCCACCTCCGTCCATCTCCACGCTCTCTCTCGCTTCTTTCGTCGTATCACCCGCATCGCGGATTTATAGTTGGATTCGGTACAGTATCTTCTCCTAGATACGCCCTCGCGCCGCGCGCGCTGTATGTATGGAGGCTTTGAGTCAACTTTCCCCCTGAGGCCGCCCTATTCTCGCGTGTGCGGTATGCTCATTCAGCTTCGCCTTGATATCTTCTCGCTACACCTCGACCTCGCCCACGCACACGCCCAAGACCCCTTCCTGAATCTCGCCCTCGCGTCCTTCATCTTGCCAGCCCGTGTGCGCGAGCTCGCCTCCCCTGCGTCTATTCCCTCATCCTCGTCCACTTCGCGTGCCCCGCGTTCAGCCTCCACGCAGGGCGTCGTATCTTGCTTCGTTTTTACCTCACTCGATATCCTGAGCCTTGCGGTTACACGAGATCGCTCCCTCGCCCTCACACCTGCTACTGACTCCACGCCAGAGTTAGCGCCACATCAGTGTGCAACAGCATCGTCACGACCGTTCCATGCGCGGTGCTATCGATAGACGGAACTGTTGGTTGGCTCTAGAAAATGTGCGGTGATATTTACAATAGGCCGCGCTCTACGTCTCGTACCACCAGACCTGAAGCTGTACACAAATCGATTTCTTCATCTAAACAAGAGGAATCATTCCAACCGGAATTTCACTTGCAGCGTTTCTCTACCCAACGGACTAGGAAAGAACAATAATACGACGTCCCAAGCCACACCCTGCGCTCGGCGCTCCACTGGCCATGGTCCATTCATATCGATATGATCCGTTTCGCATGAATGTGCAGCCGCAGCGGCCGGGGCTTCTTCATCGCTGTCGGACAAACGAAGGATGCAGAAGCGTGGTCGGCGTGGTACGCCTGGACCTGGCGTCTCCGTGGCGATCCAGGATGACTGAGAGGTTGGGCTGGATGAGCGTGGGTCACGGTTGTCGATGGCGGACTCGGTACGAGAGCATGTCCCAAGAACGACTACAAGTGTTGCAGAAACGATGTACTTGAAATGAAGGGAGACGTTTTCAGTGGAAGGAGGCGGCGGCAGGGTGCTTCTGTCACCGTCGAAGACCATGAATCTTTTCCGGAACTGGAGGAAGTCGCGAAAGACAAGGTGAAAGGCGGAGCCGGTAGTGGTGGCTTCGCAGAAGCGCCTCAGCGACTCCATCCCTGCGGTTTCGCCCTCGAAGAGGCCACCGGTGTACGGAGGGAGGGCTACAACGCGGAGATCGGTCATCGTCCAGCCATGTGAGTCGATCGCCGTGCTTGATTCCCACAGCGACACAACGGGTTCCTCTGCGGGCTGGTAGTGTGGAGCAGCGCTAGCGTTGACGTCGTCATCCACCCTTTCAAGCAAGAGGAAGACGGGGTCGGGATCTCGGCAGAATAAGTCAACGAGGAGGAATCTCTCTGTATCATCCAGAGGTAGAACAGCCGCGTGGAGCTCGATCCCGCCTGGTGACACGGAGAACACGGGAGCATGAAGTTCTGCGGTCGCGCTTGCGATCGAACCGTGCTAAGATGGTCGTCAATGTAGTACAGCGTAGAATGGCATCCATACCAACGTACCTCATTTTGTCCCGTCTGAGAGCGGGCGCTTGTGTCGTAGAACACAGGACGATTTTGGTACAAACGCTGAAGGATGAGAGGATGGCGACGGGTTCGGATAAAGTTCGGCGAAGTCTGAAGGGGGAGAAGATGACGACGCGTTCGGCTTTGAGGTGTTCCCTGAAGGTCCGATTGGAGTTGTTTCAAATTGCCCGTATACCGTCGATCTCCCAGAAGAAATATCGAAGGATCCTGCGAAGTCTTCAAGATCTCCATAAAGAGCCGGCAGAATGCGTGCTGCCCTTCGCCGTAGAGCGTCGGCATATTGACCCCGAAAAGCCCGAAGAGGCTGTAGGCACCGTCTTCCGGCCTCGTGGTTTCCCGATGCGCCGCCCAGAACATGCGCGTCGCGATGCTCGCGTCGGTAAACGGGATCTCGAAGCGGAGGACTGCCGTGGAGACTCCGGTTGCTTGTTGCAGGTGATCGGCGAGCTCGTACTTGGTGCCCAGACAGATCCACTCCTTGGAATAGAACACGAGGATGCGGGACGCGATGAGCTCTTGGAGTGTCCAGCCCCGCGAGTGCCAGCGGCTCCATCGGAAGTAGCGCCACATGCGACGTGAACGAGTGTCGGAGTATTCGACGTCGCTGAGATAGACGTAGCAGATGGCGGAGACGGCGTAGTAGCGGAACATGGAATTGATGCCTTCCGAGAGCTCGGCGCTGCTCTCCTTGTTGATACAGCATGTGTCGACCCAAGCGTACTCATGCCCGTGCCGTTCGGCGAGCTCAAGGAATGATCGAACTTTTGAAGTGAGGCGATCGCGTGGGTTGAACCATGGCGGTGACGACCGGTGTGGCTCAGCGAGTCCTTTGACGGGTGTAGGAGTAGGGGAAAACGGTATCGCAGGGGCACGTGGGTCTGAATGTGTCGAGCGGCCTTGGGTCGAGTCGTATGTCAGCGCCGACTCGGAGGATAAGTGAGCTTTGATTACACTGACCTGGCTCGCATTCAACGGTATCGGATGCTCGATTCCCTTCGGTAGAATCACAGACTACGGGGGAGGAATTGGTACGGCAAGGAGGAGTCAACTGAAGTATCTGCATGATCTGGGACTCCACCCGATGGAGAGCATCTTCCAAGTCTCTGCGAGCCGCAGATTCCCTTGAGACTGCTTCAGAAATTAGAGATCGGAGCTCGGTTCGAGGCAAGGGATGTTGGTCTTCCGGGGAGAAGGTGCTGTTGGATTCTACGTTCAGCTTTTGAACCTTTTGAAACGTATCTTCTTCCTCCCCCCAGGTGTGCGACAGGATGGCATAGCCTCCAGAAACGCGCTCAGGTTGGGGAAAGAAGACGAGGTTCGCGCGCGCGGTTCCCAGGAGCCACATCGCTTCTATCACGAATATTAGCACATGTATGTCACGCGAGAGTAAGCACGAATACCGGGTGAGAGGTGATGTGCACAATTTGCGGGAGGGGTACAGAAACTTGGGGAGCATGAGAAAATGCGATACAAAGCATCAGAAGAGGGGACGTACGATGAGAGTATCCAAGACGGTCGATGGGTTTTGCGGTACTTGGGTTCACAGAGGATGTCGATGGCTGGGAGGAGACACAAGATGGACGGGAGGAGACGTGAGATGGGTCGAGGGCTGAGGGCGAGACGCAAGAGGCCAAGTTGCTGCAAGGGCGACCCCGGTCTCATACACCGACCGCACGCTCCGCCATGCGGAACATGCATGCGATAGCCTCGGAGCACTTCCGATGCTTCTGCTGAGAAATGAAAGCGAACACAGTGTGGGCAGGCTTCGCGCTACCAGGGCGAGATGACCTTCCCTGCCACGAAGATGTCAGGTTCTGATAACGTGCGTGTTCACCCTTGGGCGAGGCTGAGAGGTATGTCATTCGTCGCAAGGTACATGGTGTGGTCCGATACCCAGATGTTCGCCGACGCTTGGATCGCCGGAGTGGACTCCAGTAACCGCGAGTGTCTCAGTCGCGCTCGTTATAAATGAAAGTGTATGCGCGCGAATGGGCACCATATGCCAGTGGTGGGCGAAGCGGGGGATCGGAAAGCAGCTCGACGCCGTCTCCAGGAAGGAGAACCGCGATGTTCTAGATCTCCCAGCCGCACAGCCCTGGTTTGAGCGGAGATGAACACCCCTGAGACAAATGAGTCAGCTGGTCCAGGCATGCACAAAACATACCGTTGCAACGAGGGTTCAGGCAGGTCCGCGGCAGTGCCCCGCCGCGTTGCCGATGACCCCAGGAGGGTTGTGCACAGAAGCATCGCTGCGGAGATGTTTGCACCGATGATCTTCGCAACCTCAGTCGGTCACAAGAGCACGTCCGCGTGAATAGCAAGATCCATGATACTGAAGAGCAGCGGGGCAGCGGGCATCAATATCCCGGAGTAGCACCTTGAGCGCAGGAAGGAAGTGAGGAGCGAGCTGCAGACTCACATGATCACCGCGGTGCGCTCGACCACGCGGACGATAACGCATGTCCAGGAGGACGTGCCGAACAGAGGGTTCCGGAATCAGAGTCGAAACAGCGAGAAACGAGCATTCGGTCGTGGTGCGGCTCTAGACTCGGAGGGGGAACTTCGAGGGGAGCTTCCACAGACGATATGCGCCGCGTGTTTTGCGGGGGACGCAATTGGCTCGAAACGCAGGCACCAGCGCCAACCAGCCCACGGTCCGCATTCTGTCGGTATCGGCGGCCGTCTCTTCCTCGTTTGCTCCAGGCGTTCATGAGCGATATATCGTCTTCTGTTCCCGCGGCGTTCGTTGACGTCGCAGTGGGAGAAGTTCGAGCCCGAGTCACTCGTGCCGAAGCGGATCGTGGTGTTATCCCCCGCGATGCCCGTGGACACGGTGCTGCGGCGGATTGACGGACTCAAGGCGGCGGAGCGAAATGCGTGGAAGGCGGGACCGTTCAGGTGGAGCGGGCGCGGCTGACCAGGCGCGGCGTAGCCAATAGGATGGGGAAGAAGACATGGCGAGGACGTCCGCGCCGCCCAGGATCCGGAGGGGGACGGAAATGCGCAGGAGTCGGCACCAAGCGATACGAGCTCGCGGAGCGCATTGGGCGCACAACGCGCACCCCGTCTTCGTCCTCCGTCTCGAGACGCTGCCCACGGAGATGGGCGTCGCCGTGCGCACGGCAAGCATAGGACAATCTGCAAGCGCCGATGACGACGCGCCTGTTTGGGCACTGCGGACCGAGCGCCGCCGGACGCCGGAACACCCGCAGGCCGGAGGCGCAGGTGCTACGCTCTCTCCTGCTCTTCGTCCACACCCTCGCGCCTCTTCCCTAGACGCGGGCGACGCGCTCTCGTTTCTTCTCGGTGGTCCTCGCGTGGTCAAGTTCCAACCCTGTGAGACCAGCAGGAGTCGCCTTCACAGGGTGCGTTCTTTTGACAGTCTGCGTATCGTTGCGTCCACAGATACTGAACAGGCGGTCTAGCCATCTCGCTGGCTCTTGACAGCAGAGGCCCACTCGCCACCTGTCATCGAATCTAGCTCGGTACGTATCTGCCAGTGTCTTCATTCTTTGCCAGGGTCCCTCTGACCTCCGGTGCAGGACTGTCGGCCGCCTCGTCAGTGAACACCCGCTCTCCGCAATCATACGACGGCCTGGGAATCTCGAGCGGGAGCGTAGGATCGACGGCAGTGGCTGAGGCCAAGGGTGAGTCCACAGCTGCGCCCGTTCCCCACACCACGATCAACGCCTACCCTGCCCTGTGGTTGTGTCGACTGCTTACCGTCGCAATCGCCGCGTCCTCTCAGACGTGCGCGTTCTCCCTCATCCATAGTTTGGTCGCCATCGGCAGGCGATGTCAGTCGTCGAGGCGCATGTTCAATGCCTCATCGAAATACAAGACGTTGTCAACATTCATGAGCGTCGACCTGTTCAACGTGTACATCGCTCGGGAATCCCTGGCGGGTGCGCTCAAGAAGCAACCCAGTGTTAACGGTGAGTTCAGGTCATTCTTCTGGTTACCCCGTACCGCAGTCGGCGCTCCCCTGCGATGTAGTGCGGTAGCTGACGGGTCTTTTTTGGCGAACCTTTACTCGCTAAGGGGTCTCGCGCGCGGACGAGAGTATGTAGCTGCGTAAGCTGCCCACGAGCTGGCGTGCCAACACTCCTGTGGCTCCCTCGACGGCTCAACCTGAAGAGGGAATGGCAGTCAAAGGTAGCAGAAGGGCTTGTCGCGCTTCGACTTCGCGCAACCGAGGTGTGTATTGTGCTACGATCACATGGATTCACTCGTGCTGAGGATGATTCTATTCCAGCCCGTTGGGACAACGATGTGTTTCACGCGTCCCCACCTATAGCTTCTCGCCTCCCGAGGTCGAGTACTGGTCTATAACGGAGACAATCCTGCTTGCAACTAAGCCGCGGTGCGTTGTTTCGCTTTTTTGATTTTCCATGCACTTTCTAACATATCGAAGATAACAGATGTCCAACATTCTTGACAGCAGTGGACCAACGACTCGCACGGATCATCGATGTCGCAGGATCCTCTCTGCGCAATCGTAACTTCTCGCGTTTGCGGCTGCTCCGGGGTCTTATCCTCGCTCGCTCTTGGGGAGATCTTCACTGCCTTCCGCTACTCGGCCTCTGTCCCACAGCAACACCGTCGAACATGCCTGTTCGACCGGTCAACCCCACGGGACGAAGGACCGCTCGGCCAGTCTACTGCCAAGAGCCTCCCACGTGCACATGGCAAGACGATCGTCTCGAACAAGGACTGTGCCGCGGAAGAAGTCGAGGCTTCTACTCGTGTTGCGATACTTGCGAAGGACAACACCCCCGTGCTCCTCCACTGCTCATCCGGAGTCCGGCGGACTAGTGTGTTCATCGCCATCGACGCCGTCCGCGGCAAGATGCAGAAGCACAAGGAGGCCTATGTCGACGACCTTGTCATCTCGCAAGCCGCGTCGGAGATCAGGGCCACTGAAGTGTGTCCGACGAGCAACGCAGATGCACCAGCGTCCCCAGCGACGCCCCCAGCAACGCGGATCCCCCGGCTCCATCCAACTTCCCAACGGTGACGAAGGGACGACGCACAGCCCACGGTTCCGGTCTCTGTCGGCGACTGCGAAGTTGATGTCCCTGTCGCCGGCTTCACCTCGAAATTCATGGATGTCGACGCCCGCTCCCGTCCGCTCCCTGTCGCCTCCACGCCCCACACGCTGCCGCGCTCGTTCGACGCGGTCCGGTCCCCGACACTGCAGGCTTCGCCCGAGCCCGTGGAGGAGGTCCGTCGCGCGGCGATGGGGGTGGCAACAGCGGCGGCTCCGCGGGTCGGAGCAGTGGGAACACGCGAACCTCCCGTCCGGCGGCCAAGCTCGCCAGCGATGAGCGCGTCCGGGCTCCGTCATCGGAAGGACGGGGAGGTTGTGCGTCAACGTCCTGGAATCGACGTCGACGAGCGATACGGTTTCTAGCTCCTCGACACCGCCGGAGGCCGAAGCATCTTTGTCCTCGGACCTGTCGCTCGCCGCCCAGCTGCAACGGGTCCACTCCTGGTGGTCCGAAGTCCACTGGTCGAAGGAGGGGCACTCGCTCTCGCCCCCCTCCAGTGCTCGCCGCTGCCGCGGGCCCTTCCTGCCCCGCTTCTGTCCTTCTCCGCCAACGCCAACAATCCGCGGAAGGCGTTCCAGAACTCCGGTAGCCGCCCCTCGCCCGACGGCACGACGCACGTCGCAGAAGCGTCGCCCGACCCGCGCAGGCTGCACTCGGACTCGTCGCCGCTGTCGCTGTCGACGCACGACTCCGAGCCGACCTGGCATGTGATCGAGGACATGCGCAAGCAGCGGATGAGCCTTTGCTAGAGCCTCTTTGCTCATCACGCGATCATCAAGGGGCTTTCTGGTGGTCTTCGACGAGGAGAAGCGGCATGGCATGCGAAGCACCACGCGCGCGCATCCACATCTGCGTCCTCAGCAGGCCCGTCTCCCCCAGCCCCTCACGGCCGCAGCCCACCCGCCCTCGCCGCTCAACGTGCACGCACAACCCGAGGCGCTCCCTTCATCGCCTCGCGTCGTCCTTTGTCCCCTGCGCAGCGGACTCCGACCACTCTGTGAGCCCCGCGTGCGTGCTGTTGGAGGCGCGGAGCGTCTCGGAGACGCACTCCGGCGACATCGCGTCCGACGCAGACGCGAGTCGGCAGAGGGGCACAGTTACAGACGACAGGGGAGTAGCTTGATATCCCATGTAGTAACAAGTGTCGACAATATATGTAGCGGTCTGCAGCAATCGCAAGAGTCGCAAAATGCTATGAGAGTCAGCGTGACAGCAGGCACTCGGCAGACGCATCGACGCCGGTCGCCGACGTCATCGCTCAGATCTCAGATGGCACGACTCCGGCCCGGATAAACGCCGTATCCGGTCGTCGCCGCCGCGTCTGCGCACTCGCTTGTCGCCGCACATCCGCCCTCTCTCGCACACTCGCCCTCGCCCGCTCGCCCGCACGACGTCGCAGACAGGTCTAGAGGAGGAGATGGGGCATGCCGGTACGTCAGCTCACGCCCTCGCTCTTGTGTTCCCCCCCGCATCTCTCGCTCGGGTGCGTCCCTTTCGATGCCCCCACCGCGATGCACTCGCAATATGGAAGGCGTCGACGGCCGCAGGGTGTTTCTGGGGGCCCGGGGGTAGATGGCGCTGGGGTCGTGTTCCGGAGGAATGAGCACTCTGGTGGCGGACAGGGGTCTAGCATCCTTGTTCTGTGGACAAGTGATGATGAACTAGGCCGCTTGAGGAGTTCTGTCCGGGCTCAATACGTGCCAGAGGTACTCGATGAGGCACGGTGACGGTCCTGACGACGTCCCACAGACGCAAGACACGCGCTCTATGGTGCGGTGCGCGCAAGTTCAGGCTCAAGACGCGCTCGTGTGCAGATATGAAGATCCGGATGGAACGATGAATTCCGCAGGACCAAACCAGTGCGCTGCCAGGTATGTGCGGCCGTTGAAGCCTCGCCCATCGTTGCTCACAAAGTCACTTCTCAGCGTCCGCGACGCCCGCCACATTCAAGACCGTCGTCTCGTGGTCGGCCATTTAGTCTACGACGTCAACTTCATACGCAGGCCGTGGGACCGCGCGAGTGGAAAGAAGAAGTTGACGCGGCCGCATGGGCCACACCCCCCGACAGGCTGGCCGCACCAATTGCTTGAATTGAGCACACAACCCGACCACGTGCCATCGCAAATCCCTCGCGCCCAAGGTCGACGGAGCACACCCGCCTCGATGGACAGCAGCGATAGCTCGCGAACTGCGCGTCACTGAAGACTCGTCCGGCCCCGTATTCCGTGAACACGAGAGCTGAAGCGTCCGCTGAATCCCGATGCTGGCCGTACCCAAAACGTGTCCCAGCACGGCCGTAGCGCGGTATGGACGAACCTTCCGGAGCGGCCGCCCTCTGAGCCCGTTCCGTCGACGCCGTCCCGCGCGGGCCAGTCTGTGGGATTGCGCCCACAAGTACGCAACGCGGTGATCCAGCTCCCAGGATCCCATCTGTTGCTTGCCGCTGCGCCCCATCCGTCGGACGTTCCCTCTCCGCCGCACTCCGGCTCTCCGTCCTCCACGTCTCCAACCTCTTAATCCCAAACGTACGGGAACAGACGTTTCCGTCGACCCCCCTCCAGACCGTCCATCTTCTCGCCGCGCGCACCGTCATCATCACGCAGTACCCCCACTGGCGCGCTGTGCTCGCCGTCGGATACGTCTCCGCCGGGCGCATCCAGCCGCGTCTTGCGACACAGATCACACTAATTCGCCTCAACGACATCGCTGCGGCCATCAGGGCCATACAGTCAAAGATGACCATCTAATTCGTCGACGGTGGGCTTTTTGAAGATGCGTATGGGCGATTCGAATCGGTTAGAGGCGTTCCTCTCCCACCTCACGCGGATGCGGAGGAGTAACGTTCCGTAAGTCGACGTCTGTCTCCTTTATGGCTTTATCTAACGCACGTGGACCAGGGACTGCACCCATGATCCCATGACCACCACCATCTACCTTCTGCACCGCGACGTGCCTCCAAGATGGCCATCAAGCACCTGTGTCGTGAAACTGTTTGCCATCGGGGAAGAATCCGACGGGGCCTTTCGTACGTATGTTGCTCGCTCGCTTGCTGTTGCACTAGTCATGCTGAACATTCCCAACAGGTACACTCATGCTCCCTGACGAGGTACTTTGCTACACGAGACGCAATCGGATCGACTCCTTCGCCATCATAGACGGGGTCTGTCATAGGTCGCCAGCCACTCCCCACTCCCGCATCCCCTCGCCGAGCTCGCGACGGGTGTCAACACCTGGCCACGCGCGTGCTCGGCAACACCTTCATCCTTGGACGCACACGCCATTCTCCGATGAACGTCTGCCTTCCCCCGAACGTGGTCGCGTTCTTCGGCCTCTCCATGCGCCTCCAACGCGTCGGCCACCTCACCTACTGGCTCTCCGGGTTTCACGCACGCATCCTCAGCGGCTCCACGGCACGTTCCCGATCTCGGATCGCAAGCCGCGGCGCATGCTCACGGACCCGGTGGCTCGTCAACCTCGACATCGTGCTCGAGACCACGCTCGCCGCCCTCCGCTTCTCCGCGCTCCCAGCCGGTTTGGTGCGCGCGCGGACATCGCCGTGCGGGAGGCGCCGCTCGAGCCAACGAGCGCAATGCACATGTTCATGACGGGGCACCCGCCCCCGTGGTGGAGCTGTGCACGCTCCTCGTCCTGTGCCGCGTGGACGCCATCTCTCTCGGCTCGCTCGCCGAGGCCGACCTGGTCCGGCGCGTGTTCGAGGACCGGCCGTGGGGGCCGGTGCTAGGGACCCAGGGACGGCATTCGTGCTCACCGAGCTCGAGTACGTGCACCGCAGCAAGTCCGTGCGGGTCCGGATGAGCGAAAGGCGGGTGGTACGGATGCGGGGTGAGAGGCGGCATGCACGGTGCTGTGCCGAGGCGAGAATCGGTCCCAAGGTGCGCCAGCCTTTTTGCGTTCAGAGGTGATCGTTTGATTGACGTTACTAGAGCTTAGGGTTTGAGACGAACGAGCAAGGCTTTCTGCTCCGCCGGTCCATGGCGACTCGTTCTTCCGGATGCGGGTCGCAGATCTAGAGCGCAGCGCAGCGCTCGACGAAACAACCTGCGGCCCATCGGTTTGAACCTGCTCCGGACGGCGGGCGGGACGCGCTGCTGCTCGATCGCGCGCTGCCAGCTGTGCGGCCTGCAGCGTGCATTAAGCCTAGTCCGACGGGGGCGCGCCCGAAGCTTTCGAGAAAGCTTCAAGACCGTCAAGCCTGCGGGAAGGGATACCGGCGGGATGCAATCGTGATCGGGCTCGGGCGCAATCTCCACCCGAATTACTCGTGTCGAGGGGGAGCGAGCAGGGTGGATGGCGTGACCGTGCAGGTGGGATGTATGCCGGAGTCTGTTCAGTTTGCGCGGGGGCCCAGGGGACGCTGCAGGCGAGACTCCGCGTGTCTAGACACTCGTCATCTGTCAATGCGTAGAGTGCGTTCGCAAATATTGAGTCGGAGACTTTCCTCGTATCTGGAAAAGAACCTACAGGCCTGACGCTACCTGCACGGCGTACGTGCGGCTTCGCCGCTCGCACCTTGGCGCTACTTGTTTTGTCCGTCCGTTGTGGCGCGAAATGATGGCCCTGGAAATGTCTCAGAATCGCCCAATCCGCAAGGTGTGATCGCATCAGATGAATCCGCCACCATCCGTGTAGCCTTATAAAAGCATGAGGACCGATGGGGTTGTTCCCCTCCGTCCGCCCTCTCCTCTGACTCAGGGTATTCTCTACTGTCATGCTCGTCTCATCGACATCAGCCACGCACTGGCCTGAGGAAGTCCCCGCGCTTTGCTCAAAGACCCTTCATCTCGTCGTGGTATGGGATGCATTCTAAAAACTTTCCCGCATGGCTGCCACTCATAAAGATGCTTCGTTTGAGCTAGGTCAGGCGGCGTTCGGTCGGTCTGCACTGTGTGCGACCGCCGCGCGGACACCGACAACTCAGAGGTCGAAGAATGGCGAGAAAGATGTGCGGTAAGCGACGCTTCACACGGGTCATCTGCACTGCTACTGCTACCGCCGCAAAGGGGCCCTCCGCGGCGGTTGGCACGGCGACGACCACAATGAGACACGATATTAGAGGCGTCCGAGATCGCGCGCGGCCGCCTGTCCCTCAGCCGCAAATGGTGGCAAGTGCTCGCTGACGGGCGCGACCACCTCTAAGTGTGCCTGCGACGTTCGGACTGGATCCAATATTGAAGCTCGGAGAACGACGCGCTGCAGTGCTCACAAGAAACGGGTACGCATCCTTCAGTTCAATGCGCAATCGCCGGGTGGCGGCAACGCATGTCACCGTGTTTGGGTCATGCCGATCGTCGAGCGCAACGGCTCACAGCTGAAAGATGATGACATGAGACGACGACGACTGAGTGCTACACTGTGCTACACCATGATGCAAGATACTCAAGCGACCGATGCGCTCATGCTCGGTACCACCCGGGCTAGCATTCCAAACAACCCCGTCCGTGCCCTGCATCACCTGCATGCCATGTTCGTCAGCCGCACACAAGTGTGTGAGAGTCAGTGTACGTACCTTCTGGTTGTTGATGGGCATGTCCTTCATCCAGCGCGTGAGCCACTCGTGAGAGGTCCATGCGAGGTCGAAGATCTCGCGCAGGTTCGGTGTAGCGTGAGCAACCGTATCACTGATGATCGCGCTTTGATCTGCGAGCGTAGCCATCTGGACGCTGTTTCCGGGTCGAGTGAAGTAGACAAGGGAGTATCACTCGTACAGCGTCAGCTGTTCTCCAGGAGGTCTGTTCAGATCTGAGTCAGTGGAGACAGAGTGCGCGTGTGACGGAACGCTTACACGATGCGGTGGAGGTTGGACCTGAGAAAGCCACCGCTGAGGATTGTCAGCGCATCTCCGATCGCGTGGCTGGGAACAGGCTGTATCGCGGCGAGACGGCTGTCAGTTCCATACCAGCGCGATCGTGCGAAGGATACCTACCTTGCGATACCGCCACGTCCGCGTGCCGGCAGCCCCCCAAAACAGTCACGAAAGAACGACAGGTGGTCAAATTAGGTATGAGCGGTGAGCGTCGCCTTGGCTTCGTCGGTGCCCTCGAACGGCTCGCGCGGCCGGCTCCGCGTGACCCGCACCTCGCTCCCGCCCCACTCCTCCTTCCGATGCTTGCATGCGGACGTACTGCGCGGCAGCCTGAGCTTCTCGTTGAGAATCGCGAGCATCGTCCCGTTCACCTCGATCGCGCGCCGGACGAAGGGGCCCACCGCGTCGCCCATGCGCGCATTCACCAGGGCGGGTAGGCATATGGCGCGCGACCATGGGACACAAGCGCGTCCTCCGCGGCGACGTTGAGGAACTCAGTCGTTCGCCCGCCGGCTGTTCGTCGGGTGTATCATCTTGCGGCTGCAGACGTTCGTACGCGCGCGTAGTTTTGCTCAGGGGGCGCGCGAAAGAGCGGGTGCATCTGGGGCCACAGTCCACTGAGTTTGAGCTGTATGCGGATAGGATGGGCAACCACGGTCAGCCCTTGGCAACAGCGCACATCAGCGGAACAGGACACACCTTGCAGTTTGTCACCCGCTGCGATTTGACCCTCCTCGCCAGCCACTCCATCGCCGTCACGCCAGGGGCGTACTTCCCCGGGGGCGCGTAGGCGACCGCCGCAGCGATGCGCTCGCTCTGCCCGGACAGAACCCGCAGCTCGACGAAGTCGTTCGGGGGTGAAGAACACGACCGAGTGCCGTTCGTACTGGGCTTGCTCCCGCGGAGGCGGGCTGGGAAGGGGGTGAGCCGCGGAGTATCAAATGGGAATGTCGTGGACAAACTCACACGACGCGATGGATGTTGGAGCGTAGGATGCCGCCGGAGACGATGTTGAGCGCGTCGCCAATGTTGCAGGTCGCGTGTCCGGGCAGGGGCTGAGCGACGGACGACTGCGTGAGCATGAGCGCGGCGGATCGAAAAGGATCACTGACCTTGACGCAGAACCATTGGTCAGACCTTGGCGGGAACACCTGCAAGCCCCCGAGGCGGTTGTGAAGGAACGATTGAGGGAAGCGATGTCAGTGCAACGCGAGGGGCCACAAGGCAAACCACTCACCAGGGACCCAAAGTCCGTGGGCGCCGTCAGGAACGTCGTCTCCTGCGGCCCGGGATACGGCGGCGCTCTGAACTCCTCGACCTTGTGGAGAGACGCGAGGGGGCCCGAGCTTGTCGTTGAGGACGCCGGATCGCGAGCGACTTCTTCACGAACGGCGTGATGGTGGAATCCATTCGCGCGTTGACGGCGGAGGGGTACGTGCGACGCGCGACGGCCGGCCAGGCGTGCGTGTCGTCCTTGGAGATGTTGACAAACTCAGGCACGTCGCGCGTGCCTCTGTCTGCCTTGTAGCCGCGCCGATGCGGAGGTCGGTGGAAAGTGCAAAAGCAAGCGGTTGGAGAGAACGTACCCGAACGAAACACCTTGGTCTCCCTGCTCAAAGAGGAGCTTCTCCTTGAGGGTAAGAGCGATCGTCTCTTCGCGCATCGCAAACATACCTTCCGCTTCCTCGTGTACGCTGTGGTTCATGAGGTTTGGGAAGGATCACCGGTTAGTCGTAACGTTCACTCAAGCACTGCGCAGTCACTCACTACCAAAACCCTGTCGCAGCCCTCCAGAACCTCTCAACCTCATGCGCATCTCGAGCTCACAGTTGATCACGAACAGGACAGGTGGGGGCATCCTGAGGGAAAGTCGGGTAGTGTTTCAGACCAGGCATGGCGACACTGACTCAGGGAGTATGGATCGCAGCGTACCTATGCCCTTTGAGTTTATGAGACGGGTGTCGGCACTCCGGGCTCCGCGAGAAATGTGCTAAACTTGCAGCATGATCTCATGAATCGGAGGGGGATGAAGTGGCGAAGCAAGAGCAGGGCGCGTCTCGGTGGGGGTTCCGCGGGGAAGGATAGGGGTGGTGAGAGGAGGTAGGAGGAAGTGGATGTCCGAGTCTCGACAGGACTCGAGAACGCGGCGCCAACACGAGACGGCTGATGTAAGCGATCGGGTCCGACTCGTCGCTCGTGTGCAAGCCACATCTTTCAACTTGTTCATCAGCCAAGGTGCGCTTCTACTTATATCGATGGCGAACATGCGTATATGTTCATGCCACCATCCTCGGACTTGTTTTAGCTGACGTCCCCTCTCCGTGTTCAGGTACTTCGTCGCCACAACTACGCATACTTCTTGGAGCACTTGAACGCAGGCTGCGGGACCGCACGAGTGGAAAGAATTTGACGCGACCACATGAGCCACGACCCTCGACAGGCTGGCCGTACGAGCTCCTTGACGAGCACACAACTCGACCACGTGACATCGGAAAGCTCTCGCGCCCTCCGCAAAGGTCGACGAAGTACACCCAGATGGACAGCGGCGGCGACGCCTCGCGAACTGCGCGTTGCTGAAAACTCGGCCGGCCCCATGTGCCGCGAACACGAGAGCGGTGGCGTCCGTTGAATCCCGACGCCGGCCGTACCAAAATGTGTGTGAGCACGGTCATAGCGAGGTGTGGACGAACCTTTTGGAGCGGCCGCCCTCTTATCCTGCCACTTCCCTCGACGACGTTCCACGCGGGCCAGTCTGCGTGGGATTGCGGCCACAAGTACCCAGCGCGACCTGGCTCCCGCCTGCTGCTCGCCGTCGCGCCCCAACCGCCCGACGTCCTCTCCGCCACCCCGCGGCTCTCCGTCCTTCACGGCTTCATCCTCTTGATTCCCAACGCACGCGAAAAGACGTTCCCTTCGACGTCCCTCCCGACCGTGCATCGTCACGCGCTGCTCCCAATAGCGCGCCGTCTCTTCGACGCCCTCCGCCTCGACTCCCTGCGGGCACCTCTCCGCCGGGCGCATTCGGCTGTTCTCCTGGCCCTTCACCACCATCTCGACGCGTCTCCAGCGCCCACGCGCGTGAACCTCGACGCCTCACATGACAACCTCACTCGAGTCGCCACCTCCACCTCCGGTCGCGGGCACCTGTGATGGCACCCCCGCTGCGACCGCACACCCGACGCGCACGCGTTCCCCGCGCGCTGGCCCGAGCGTGGCCTCTCCTCCGCCCCCTTGCTCCCCTCCGCGCGCGCTGCGCCTCCGCCCCGAGACCGACGCATTGCTCGCGCTTGCCACGCTCCTCAAGCATCTAACCGCCCTCGAATTCGCGCGAAGCCCCTACCGTGCGCCTCGGACTGTCTCCGCGACGACTCCTAGTGGGAGCCACCACCGCATTCTTGCACGCGGTACAAGCCGAGCCGGACGCGGGGGAGGCGGTCTGCTCGGCCCCACGCATGCTCGCGCTCGAGCTGTACCCGCCGCGATGCCACGCGCGCGCGCGCGCGCGTCGTCGCACTCACTTCCCTCGCATCCTCCATGCCGACTGTGGCACCCGCTCTTCACAGCGTGCCATTTCGCTACTACACGTACTGGTCCTCTCTCCGAACCCCACGGCCTCTCTCGATATCAACCACGATCCCTCGTGCAGCTCACCCCGACTCCACCTCCAGCGGTCCACGGCTGTTGATATCTGAACGAACCAGGACCACTGCGTCACCCAGCGCGCCGTAGCGTTGGCGACGTTCTGACATCGGATCCCATGTGAGTGCCGTTTGTTCAATTCTCTTGAGAATCCCCTGTCTAGGTCGCCGGATCTCTCTCCACACCCGTCGCGCTATCCCGCTAATTTCTGCGCCCATTTCCCCAATCAGTGTCAGGTCACCTTGACACAGATTCGAGCTGGGAAGCGGGGTGACGTCACTGCGACGTCTGATCTGGACGCGTGCCCTTCTCATCTATACTCCAAGGTGAGTATATGCGCAGGTTGAATGAGGATGCGGGAGGATCAACACGTGCTGGGACCCAGTTTTCAGGCAGGGCGCGTCTTCAGACGAGCTTCCTCGCATCTGGAAGGGTGGACGAGCATGCTACGGCAGATTCGGGATTACGCGGAGAGACGGCCCGCGGAACCGAGGCGCTCTCCCCATGTTCTACAACCCGATGCACGTTTGGCCTTTCTTTGAAAGCGGTCATTGGAGACTGATGACTCTCTTCTGCAGAAATCCCACCCAAAAATTCTTCCCAGTAGGCGGGACTCGTCTGCGGCGTTGGTCCTGTAACAGACGCGCGCGATATTGATAGACCGGGACGGACGATGTGGTTGATCTATTCAACCTGTTGGACATCGGGAGTTCGCCGACGGACCGCCTCTCCGAGCTTGGGTTCCTCCTCGGAGGTGTTGGACTCAATGGTACGTACTCCGAGATACCCTCGTTTGATACAGTGCACTGACTCACCTATCTACAGACCGTCTCGTCTTCGGAGCAGCGTCCCGACGACGACCAAGGAACAAGCCGGCCCCTTCGCCCTCCTCGACATCCATAACGCCACCGTTGGGCGGGACCTCTGCCTGGTTATGCCTCTCGCCCAACTCAACGCCGCCTCAGATCTGACGGAGCGCATCGGGATCCAGGCTACTCTGGTGTGAACGTACTCCGGTGTGAGCATTGGGTTCATGGTACACGCGCTGGAAATATCGCACGCTCACTCACCGCTAATCCCGTTGCATAGGCCCCAGTTCTTGCGCAGCGAAGCCAGTGGATGGCGCATGGCGCGCTCGCGCCGGCAGCCGCATGCTCTCGATCTCCTTGAAGCGGACGTGTCCATGTTAATACAAGATCAGGAGACCGGGCACACTAATATAACGGTGAGAATACGCGGATGACAGTGACACAGATGGAGAACTGACCACAGCACTCGCGCAGCGAGGTCATCTACTCTTGAGAACTCGATTTTCAGTGCGCGTGGTCCTGAAGGCCTGAATGCTGCTTGGTTGTAAGTGAGTGCACTGGAAATCATTGGACCCGTCTCGCACTGACCATCACACCTCCGTATAACGGGTCTCTCTACTGATACGCACGCGCTGTCGCCGTACAGTGCAGGAGCACGAACCCTACACCGTCGACCAGGCTAACGTACGCCCGCGCGATCATCTCCGCGTTCGGTCCTCGTCTTCGCGTACCTAGTCTATTCCGGCTCGCGCACCCTTCGCTATCCGCCCGCGGATACCATATGACTACCACATAGGCATATAGCATGGGCCCGTCAAGATGCGATCGCACCACGGCGTCCTCCGTGCACTCTCGCGGTCTACACCGCGCGCACTCCACCACCACCGCCCGCGGCGCAGCGCCCTCTCCTTTTCGCGATGGCACCCCGTAGCCGTCCTCGTACGTTCTCTTATCACTTGATTTCTTACAAGACTCCCCCTTCTTCGTCCCCTTTTCATGTCTCTCTCTCTTTCTCCACCTCCGTCCATCTCCACGCTCTCTCTCGCTTCTTTCGGAGTGTATCCCCGTCACGGGCTCATAATTGGCTTCGGTACAGTCTCTTCTCTTAGATATATACGCCCTTGCTCCGCGCGCGCTGTATGCCTGTAGGCTATGAGTCAATTCTCCCTCAATTCTCGCGTGTGTGGTGTGCACATCCAGTTTCGCCTCGACTTCTTCTCGCTAAACCTCGACCTTGTACACGCACACGCACACGACCCCTTCCTGACTCTCGCCCTCGCGTCCTTCATCTTACCAGCCGGTGTGTCCGACCTCCTCTTCCTCACGTCTATTCCCCCGTCCTCGTCCACTCCGTGCGCCGTGCGTTCTGCCTCCACGCGGGGCGTCGTATCTTGCCTTTTTTTCACCTCACTCAACGTCCTGAGCCTCGCGGATACGCGAGATCGCTCCCTCGCCCTCACCCCTGCCACCGAGTCTACGCCAGGGTTGGCGCCGCATCAGCGTGCAACAGCATCGTCACGACCGTTCTTAGCGCGGTGCCATCGATAGATGGAACTGTTGGTTGGCTTTGGAAAATGTACGGTGATGTTTACAATAGGCGGCGCTCTACGTATCGTACCACCAGACCTGAAGCTGTACACAAATAAATTTCTTCGTCTATCGTGACCTGACTCGTTCAAACCGGAATTTCACTTGCAGCGTTTCTCTACCCAACGGACTAGGAACGAACGATAACACGACTGCCACTCCCGCCAAAAATTCGTCTTCCGACCGCCGCACTCGGCGCTCCACTGGCCATGGTCCGTCCATGTCAATATGATCCGTTTTGCACGAATGCGCAGCCCCAGCGGCTGGGGCTTCTTTATCGCTGTAGGACAAACGAAGGATGCAGAAGTGTTGTCGGCGTGGTACGCCTGGACCTACTAGCGTCTCCGTGGCAATCCGGGATGACAGAGAGGTTAGCCTGGATGTGCGTAGGTGGTTGTCGATGGCGGACTCGGTACGAGAGCATGTCCCAAGAACGAGCGTTGGATGGCGGTTAAAACAAAGAGAGACGTCTTCGGTGGAAGGAGGCGGCGGCAGGGTGCTTCTGTCACCGTCGAAGAAAAGTCCAATTTTCTGGAGCTGGAGGAAGTCGCGAAAGACAAGGTGAAAGGGGGAGCCGGTAGTGGTGGATTCGCAGAAGCGCCTCAGCGACTCCATCCCTGCGGTTTCGCCCTCGGAGAGGTCACCGGTGTACGGCGGGAGGGCTACAACGCGGAGATCGGTCATCTTCCAGCCATGTGAGTCGATCGCCGTGGTTGATTCCCGCAGCGACACAACGGGACCCTCTGCGGGCTGGTATAGCGGAGCAGCGTGAGGATTGAGCTTGGAGTCGTCCACCCTTTCAAGCAACAGGAAGACGGGGATGCGATGTCGGCAGAATAAGTCGACGAGGAGGAATCTCTCTGTATAATCCAGAGGCAGAACGGCCGCGTGGAGCTCGATCCTGCCTGGTGACACGGAAAACGTGGGAGCACGGAGTTCTGTGGTCGTGCTTGCAATCGAGCCCTGCTAAAATGGTCGTCAATGTAGCACAGCGTAGAATGGCATCCATACCAGCGTACCTCATCTTGTCCTCTCTGCGATCGGGCGCTGTGTTCATATCTAATTACCTCAGGAACAGGGTAGATTAGGCTAAAGGTCGGCGAAGGCTGAAGGGGGAGAAGATGGCGACGAGTTCGGCTGTTGGGTGTTCCCTGGAGGTCCGATTGGAGGTCTTCCAACTTGCCCACATCCCGTCGTCTTCCCAAGAGAAAACTCGAAGGATCCCGCGACGTCTTCGAGATCTCCATGAGGAGCCGGCAGAATGCGAGCCGCCCTTCGCCGTAGAGCGTCGGCATGTTGACCCCGAAAAGCCCGAAGAGGCTGTAGGCGGCGTCTTCCGGCCTCGCGGTTTCCCGATGCGCCGCCCAGGATATGCGCGTCGCGATGCTCGCGTCGGTAAACGGGCTCTCGAAGCGGAGGACTGCCTCGGAGATCCCAGTTGCTTCTTTTAGGCGATCAGCGAGTTCGTACTTGGTGCCCAGAGAGATCCACTCTTTGGAATAGAACACGAGGACGCGGGACGCGATGAGCTCTTGGAGAGTCCAGCCCCGCTTGTGCCAGCGGCTTCTTCGGAAGAAGATCCACATTTCGTCTGGATCATCGTAGGAGTATCCAACGTCGCTGAGGTAGACGTAGCAGATGGTGGAGCGGGCGTAGTAGCGGAACATGGAATTGATGCCTTCCGAGAGCTCGGCACTGCTCTCCTTGTTGATACAGCACGTGTCGACCCAAGCGTACTCGTGCCCGTGCTGTTCGGCGAGCTCAAGGAATGATCGAACTTTTGGAGTGAGGCGATCGCGTGGGTTGAACCATGGTGGCGACGAGCGGGATGGCTCAGCAAGTCCTTGGACGGGTGCGGGGGTAGGGCGAAACGGTGTCTCGGGAACGCGTGGACCTGAACCCGTCGCGTGTGTCAGCGCCGACGAAGAAAGATGAGGTTTCATTACGCTGACCCGGCTCGCATTCAGTACTCGTCTCTTCTCTCTCTCGGGGATTCCCTTCAGCGCGATCGCGGACGACGGAGGAGGCGCTAGAAGGACGTAGACAGTATAACAGCAACGCGAGCGTCTGCATCATCTGGAACCCCACCCAATGGAAAGCACCCCACAAGTCTCTGCAAGCCGCAAATGCTTTTGGGACTGCCTCGGAAATGAGAGATCGTCGATCGTCGCGCCGAGCCGCCGCTTCTTGAGAGATTGCCTGGGCCATGAGAGATCGGAGCTCGGCTCGGGGCAAGGGGCGTTGGTCTTCCGGGGAGAAGGTGCTGTTCGATTCTTCGTTGAGCTTTTGAACTTTTTGAAATGTCTCTTCCTTTCCTTCGAGCCAGGTGTGCGACAGGATGGCATAGCCTCCAGGAACGTCTTCAGGTTGGGGAAAGAAGACGAGGTTCGCGCGCGCGGTGCCCAGGAGCCACATCGCTTCCATCACGAGTATTAGCACGTGTATGCCACGCAAGGGTAAGCACGAATACCGGGTGAGAGGTGATGTGCACGATTTGCGGGAGGGGTACAGAAACTTGAGGAGCATGAGCAAATGCGATATAAAGCATCGGAAGAGGGGACGTACGATGAGAGTATCCAAGACGGTCGATGGGTTTTGCGGTATTTGGGTTCACAGAGGATGTCGATGGCTGGGAGGAGACACAAGATGGACGGGAGGAGACGTGAGATGGGTCGAGGGTCGAGGGCGAGATGCAAGGGGCCAAGTTGCTGCAAGGGCGACCCCGGTCTCATACGCCGACCGCACGCTCCGCCACGCGGAACATGCATGCGATAGCCTCAGAGCACTCCCGATGCTTCTGCTGAGAAATGAAAGCGAACACAGTGTGGGCAGGCTTCGCGCTACCTAGGGCGAGATGACCTTCCCTGCCACGAAAATGTCAGGTTCTGATAACGTGCGTGTTCACCATTGGGCGAAGCTGAGAGGTATGTCATTCGTCGCGAGGTACATGATATAGTCCGATACCCAGATGTTCGCCGACGCTTGGATCGCCGGAGTAGACTCCAGTATCCCGAGTGTCTCAGTCACCGCCTCGTTATCAATGACAGTGTATGCGCGCGAATGGGCACCATATGCCAGTGGTGGGCGAAGCGGGGGATCGGAAAGCAGCTCGACGCCGTCTCCTGGAAGGAGAACCGCGATGTTCTAGATCTCCCAGCCGCACAGCCCTGGTTTGAGCGGAGATGAACACCCCTGAGACAAATGAGTCAGCTGGTCCAAGCATGCACAAAACATATCGTTGCAACGAGGATTCGGGCAGGTCCGCGGCAGTGCTTCGCCGCGTTGCCGATGACCCCATGCCACGGTCCAGGAGGGTTGCGTACAGAAGCATCGCTGCGGAGATGTTTGGACCGACGATCTTTGCAACCTCAGTCGGTCACAAGAGCACGTCCGCGTGAATAGCAGGATCCATGATACTGAAGAGCAGCGGGGCAGCGGGCATCAATATCCCGGAGTAGCACCTTGAGCGCAGGAAGGAAGTGAGGAGCGAGCTGCAGACTCACATGATCACCGCGGTGCGCTCGACCACGCGGACGATAACGCATGTCCAGGAGGACGTGCCGAACAGAGGGTTCCGGAATCAGAGTCGAAACAGCGAGAAACGAGCATTCGGTCGTGATGCGGCTCTAGACTCGGAGGGGGAACTTCGAGGGGAGCTTCCGTAGACGACATGCGCCGCGTGTTTTGCGGGGGACGCAATTGGCTGGAAACGCACTGTCGGTATCGGCGGCCGTCTCTTCTTCGTTTGCTCCAGGCGTTCATGAGCGATATATCGTCTTCTGTTCCCGCGGCGTTCGTTACTCATGTAGAAGGGGATCGTGGCGTTGTCCCCCGCGATGCCCGTGGACACGGTGCTGCGGCGGATTGACGGACTCATCTTCTGTCGAGGCGGCGGAGCGAAATACGTGGAAGGCGGGACCGTGCAGGTGGAACGGACGCGGCTGACCAGGCGCGGCGTAGCCAATGGGATGGGGAAGAAGACATGGCGAGGACGTCCGCGCCGCCCAGGATCCGGAGGGGGACGGAAATGCGCAGGAGTCGGCACCAAGCGATACGAGCTCGCGGAGCGCATTGGGCGCACAACGCGCACCCCGTCTTCGTCCTCCGTCTCGAGACGCTGCCCACGGAGATGGGCGTCGCCGTGCGCACGGCAAGCATAGGACAATCTGCAAGCGCCGATGACGACGCGCCTGTTTGGGCCCTGCGGACCGGCGAGCCCCGGACGCCGGAACACCCGCAGGCTGGAGGCGCAGGTGCTACGCTCTCTCCTGCTCTTCGTCCACACCCTCGCGCCTCTTCCCTGGACGCGGGCGACGCGCTCTCGTTTCTTCTCAGCGGTCCTCGCGTGGTCAACCCTGTGAGACCAGCATGAGTCGCCTTCAAAGGGTGCGTTCTTTTAGCAGTCTGCGTATCGTTGCATCCACAGATACTGAACAGGCGGTCCAGCCATCTCGCTGGCCCTTGACAGCATCGGCTCCTTCGCCACCTGTCATCGAATCTAGCTCGGTACGTATCTGCCAGTGTCTTCATTCTTTGCCAGGGCCCCTCTGACCTCCGGTGCCGCTCAGGACTGTCGGCCGCCTCGTCAGTGAACACCCACTCTCCGCACTCATACGACGGGCTGGGAATTTCGAGCGAGAGCGTAGGGTCGGCGGTGGCTGAGGCCAAGGGTGAGTCCACAGCTGCGCCCTCTCCCCACACCGCGATCAACGCCTACCCCAGTGCCCTGGGGTTGATATCGACTGCTTACCGTCGCAATCGCCGCTTCCTCTCAGACGTGCGCGTTCTCCTTCATTCATAGTTTGGTCACCGTCGGCAGGCGATGTCAGTCGTCGAGGCGCATGTTCAATGCCTCATCGAAATACAAGACGTTGTCAACACTCAAATACTCATGAGCGTCGACCTGTTCAACTACGTCGCTCGTGAACCCTTGGCGGGTGCGCTCGAGAAGCGACCCAGTGTTAACGGTGAGTTCAGGTCATTCTTCTGGTTACCCCGTACCGCAGTCGGCGCTCCCCTCCGATGTAGTGCGGTAGCTGACGGGTCTTTTTTTGATGAACCTTTACTCGCTAAGGGGTCTCGCGCGCGGACGAGAGTATGTAGCTGTGTAGGCTGCCCACGAGCCAGCGTGCCGACACTCCTGTGGCTCCCTCGATGGCTCAACCTGAAGAGGGAACGGCAGTCAAAGGTAGTAGAAGGGCTTGTCATACTTCAACTTCGCGCAACCGAGGTGTGTATTGTGTTACGATTACATGGATTCACTCGTGCTGACGTATTCCAGCCCGCTGGGACAACAATGTGTTTCACGCGTTCCCACCTATAGCTTCTCGCCTCCCCGGGTCGAGTGCTGGTCTATCACGGGGACAATACTGCTTGCAACCAGGCCGCGGTGCGTTGTTTCGCTTTTTTGATTTTCCATGCACTTTCTAATATATCGAAGATAACAGATGTCCAACTTTCTTGACAGCAGTGAACCAACGACTCGCGCGGAGGACCCTATTGGCAGCTCGAGCACGGATCATCGATATCGCAGGATCCTCTCTGCGCGATCGTAACTTCTCGCGTTTGCGGCTGCTCCGGGGTCTTATCCTCGCCCGCTCTTGGGGAGATCTTCACTGCCTTCCGCCACTCGGCCTCTGTCCCACAGCAACACCGTCGAACATGCCTGGACCGGTCAAACCCACGAGACGAAGGACCGCTCGGCCAGTCTACTACCAAGAGCCTCCCACGTGCACATGGCAAGACGATCGTCTCGAACAAGGACTGTGCCGCGGAAGAAGTCGAGGCTTCTACTCGCGTTGCGATACTTGTGAAGGACAACACCCCCGTGCTCCTCCACTGCTCATCCGGAGTCCGGCGGACCGGCGGGTTCATCGCCATCGACGCCGCCCGGCGCAAGACGCAGAAGCACAAGGAGAGCTAGGTCGAGGGCCCCATCATCTCGCAAGCCGCGTCGGAGTTCCAGGCCTATTCAGGTGTGTCCCAGCGCTCTCAGCGAGGCCCCCACCGACGCGATAGATCTCGATCCCCCGGCTCCATCCAACTTCCCAGCCACGAAGGACGACACACAGCCCACGGTTCCGGTCTCTGTCTGCGACTGCGAAGTCGACTCCATGGATGTCAACGCCCGCTCCCCTCCGGCCCCTGTCTCCTCCGAGTCCCACACGTTACCGAACCTGCCCGACGCGGTCCGGCCCCCGACACTGGAGGCTTCGCCCGAGCTCGTGGAGGAGGTCCGTCGCGCGGCGATGGGCGTGTTGCCAGCTGCCCTCCGCGCAGACGTTGCCCCGTTCTGCCCGTCAAGGACCAGCCGCACGTGTTCGAGCGGTGGCAACAGCGGCTGCTCCGCGGGTCGGAGCAGTGGGAACACGCGAACCTCCCGTCCGGCGGCCAAGCTCGCCAGCGATGAGCTCGTCCGGGCTCCGTCATCGGAAGGACGGGGAGGTTGTGCGTCAACGTCCTGGAATCGACGTTGACGGGCTCAGGTTCCCGTCCCTCGTCGACACCGCCCGTGCCGTCAGCGAGCGATACGGCTTCTAGCTCCTCGACACCGCCGCAGGCCGAAGCACCTTTGTCCTCGGACCTGTCGTTCGCCGCCCAGCCGCAACGGGTCCACTCCTGGTGGTCCGAAGTCCACTCGTCGAAGGAGGGGCACTCGCACCTCCAGTGCTCGCCGCTGCCGCGGGCCCTTCCTGCCCCGCTTCCGTCCTTCTCCGCCGACGCCAACAATCCGTGAAAGGCGTTCGAGAACTCCGGTGGCCGCCCCTCACCCGACGGCACGACGCACGTCGCAGAAGCGTCGCCCGACCCGCGCGAGCTGCACTCGGACTCGTCGCCGCTGGCGCTGTCGACGCACGACTCCGAGCCGACGCGGCATGTGATCAAGGACATGCGCACGCAGCGGATGAGCCTCTGCTGGAGCCTCTTTGCTCATCACGCGATCGCCAAGGGGCTCTTTGGTGGCTATCGACGAGGAGAAGCGGCATGGCATGCGAAGCACCACGCGCGCGCACCCACATCTGTATCCTCAGCGGGCCCGTCTCCCCCAGCCCCTCACGGCCGCGGCCCACCCGCCCTCGCCGCTCAACGTGCACGCACAACCCGAGGCACTCCCTCCATCGCCTCGCGTCGCCCTCTGTGCCCCGCGCAGGGGACTCCGACCACTCTGTGAGCCTGCGTGCGTGCTGTTGGAGGCGCGGAGCGTCTCGGAGACGCACTCCGGCGACATCGCGTCCAACGCAGATGCGAGTCGGGGACGGCAGAGGGGCACGGTTACAGACCACAGGGGAGTAACTTTATATCCAATGTAGTACCAAGTATCGACAATAAATGTAGCAGTCTGCAGCAATCGCGAGAGTCACAAAATGCTATGGGAGTCAGCGTGGCAGCAGGCACTGCACTCGGCAGACGCATCGACGCCGGTCGCTGACGTCATCGCTCAGATGGCACGACGGCCCGGATAAACGCCGTATCCGGTCGTCGCCGCCGCGTCTGCGCACTCGCTTGTCGCCGCACATCCGCCCTCTCTCGCACACTCGCCCGCACGACGTAGAGGAGGAGATGGAGCATGCCGGTACGTCAGCTCACGCCCTCACTCTTGCGTCCCTCCCCGCATCTCTCGCTCGGGTGCGTCCCTTTCGATGCCCCCACCGCGATGCACTCGCAATATGGAAGGCGTTGACGGCCGCAGGGTGTTTCTGGATGGTATATGATGCTGGGATCGTGTTATGGAGGAATGGGCACCCTAGTCGCGTACAGGAGTCTACCGTCCTTGTTCTGTGGACAAGTGATGCTGAACTATGCCATTTCAGGAGCTCTGTATGAGCTCAATACGTGCCAGAGGTACTCGATGAGGCACGGCGACAGTCCTGACGAGGTCCCACAGACGCAAGACACACGCTCTGTGGTGCGGTGCGCGCAAGTTCAGGCTCAAGACGCGCTCGCGTGCAGATATGAAGATCCGGATGGAACGATGGATTCCGCAGGACCAAACCAGTGCGCTGCCAGGTATGTGCGGCCGTTGAACGTTGAAGCCTCGCCCACCATTGCTCAAAACATCACTTCTCAGCGTCTGCGATGCCCGCCACATTCATGACCGTTGTCTCGTGGTCCGTCATTAAATCTACGACATCAACTTCATGCGCAGGCCGCGGGACCGCGCGAGTGGAATGAAGAAGTTGACGCGGCCGCATGGACCACACCCCCCGACAGGCTGGCCGCACCAGTTGCTTGAATTGAGCACACAACCCGACCACGTGGCATCGCAAATCCCTCGCGCCCAAGGTCGACGGAGCACACCCGCCTCGATGGACAGCAGCGATGCCTCGCGAACTGCGCGTCACTGAAGACTCGTCCGGCCCCGTATTCCGTGAACACGAGAGCGGAAGCGTCCGCTGAATCCCGATGCTGGCCGTGTCCAAAACGTGTCCCAGCACGGCCGTAGCGCGGTGTGGAACCTTCCGGAGCGGCCGCCCTCTGAGCCCGTTCCCTCGACGCCGTCCCACGCGGGCCAGTCTGCGGGATTGCGCCCACAAGCACGCAACGCGGTGAACCAGCTCCCAGGATCCCATCTGTTGTTTGCCGCTGCGCCCCGTCCGCCGGACATTCCCTCTCCGCCGACCTCCAGCTCTCCGTCCTCCACGTCTCCAACCTCTTAATCCCCAACGTACGGGAACAGACGTTTCCGTCGACGCCCCTCCAGACCGTCCATCGTCTCGCCGCGCGCACCGTCATCATCACGCAGTGCTCCCACTGGCGCGCTGTGCTCTCCGTCGGACACGTCTCCGCCGGGCGCATTCAGGGCCATACAGTCGAAGATGGCCATCTAATTCATCGATGGAGGGCTTTTGGAAGAGCTGATGAATATGTGTATGGGCGATTCGAATCGGTTAGAGGTGTTCTCCTCCCACTTCACGCGGGTGCGGAGGAGTAACGTTCCGTCAGTCGACCTCTGTCTCCTTTATGGCTTTATCTAACGCACGTGGAACAGGGACTACACCCATGATCCCATGACCACCATCATCTACCTTCTGCGCCGCGACGTGCCTCCAAGATGGCCATCAAGCGACTATGCCGTGAAACTGTTTGCTGAACACCGTCGGGGAAGAATCCGACGGGGCCTTTCGTACGTATGTTGTTTGCTCGCTTGCTGTTGCACTAGTCATGCTGAACATTCCCAACAGGTGCACTCATGCTCCCTGACGAGGTACTTCGCTACACGAGACGCAATCGGATCGACTCCTTCGCCATCATAGACGGGGTCTGTCATAGGTCGCCAGCCACTCCCCACTCCCGCATCCCCTCGCCGAGCTCGCGACGGGTGTCAACACCTGGCCACGCGCGTGCTCGGCAACACCTTCATCCTTGGACGCACACGCCATTCTCCGATGAATGTCTGCCTTCCCCCCAACGTGGTCGCGTTCTTCCGCGTCTTCATGCGCCTCCAACGCGTCGGCCACCTCACCTACTGGCTCTCCGAATTTCACGCACGCATCCTCAGCGGCTCCACGGCACGCTCCAGATCTCGGATCGCAAGCCGCGGCGCATGCTCACGGACCCAGTGGCTCGTCAACCTTGATATCGTGCTCGAGACCACGCTCACCGCCCTCAGCTTCTCCACGCTCACCGCGCTCCCAGCCGGTTTCGCGCGCGCGCGGACATCGCCGTGCGGGAGGCGCCGCTCGAGCCGACTAGCGCAATGCACATGTTCATGACAGGGCACCCGCTCCCGTGGTGGTCGCCACAGGCGCCGTTCCAGCTGTGCACGCTCCTCGTCCTGTGCCGCGTGGACGCCATCTCTCTCGGCTCGCTCGCCGGGGCCGACCTGGTCCGGCGCGTGTTCGAGGACCGGCCGTGGGCGCCAGTGCCAGGGACGGCGTTCGTGCTCACCGAGCTCGAGTACGTGCACCGCAGCAAGTCCGTGCGGGTCCGGATGAGCGAAACGCGGGTGGTACGGACGCGGGAGGAGAGGCGGCATGCACGATGCTGTGCCGAGGTGAGAATCGGTCTCAAGGTGCGCCAGCCTTTTTGCGTTCAGAGGTGATCGTTTGATTGACGTTACTAGAGCTTAGGGTTTGAGACGAACGAGCAAGGCTTTCTGCTCCGCGGCTCGGTCACAGATCTAGAGCGCAGTGCAGCGCTCGACGAAACAACCTGCGGCCCATCGGTTTGAACCTGCTCCGGACGGCGGGTGGGACGCGCTGCTGCTCGATCGCGCGCCGCTAGCTGTGAGGCCTGCAGCGCGCAAGCCTAGCCCGACGGGGGCGAAGCTTTCGAGCAAGCTTCAAGCTTTCCGCCAGACCGTCAAGCCTGCGGGAAGGGATACCGGCCGGATGCGATCGTGATCGGGCTTGGGCGCAATCTCCGCACGAGTTACTCGTGTCGAGGGGGAGCGAGCAGGGTGGATGGCGTGACCGTGCAGGTGGGACGTATGCCGGAGTCTGTTCAGTTTGCGCGGGGGCCCAGGGGACGTTGCAGGCGAGACTTCGCGTGTCTAGACACTCGTCATCTGTCAATGCGTAGAGTGCGTTCACAAATATTTAGGAGACTTTCCTCGTATCTGGAAACTACAAGCCTGGTCACGCTACCTGCACGGCGTACGTGCTGCTTCGACGCTCGCGCCTTGGCGCTACTTGTTTTGTCCGTCCGTTGTGGCGCGAAATGATGGCCCTGGAAATGTCTCAGAATCGCCCAATCCGCAAGGTGTGATCGCATCAGATGAATCCGCCACCATCCGTGTAGCATTATAAAAGCATGAGGACCGATGGGGTTGCTCCCCTCCGTCCGCCCTCTCCTCTGACTCAGGGTATTCTCTACTGTCATGCTCGTCTCATCGACATCAGCCACGCACTGGCCTGAGGAACATCAGCAAAAAAGCATTTTAATTGGAACGGCTTGGAAGTGAATCAAATGTCTAGGATATTATAAAATGTTTAAGCGTTCAATAGATAGCTGTTCTGGAGGGTTGCAAGTCATTGCAATGTCTGGTCGAAGTCATTGGAAGCCATTCCAATGTTCACTGCTCCGAGTTTTCCTGGCACCGTCGGCTGTCCGAACTTTGTCCACACATCAAATACGACGGGAAGAAACCTTTTTATTGATCGGAATAACTATCACATACAGATATGCATACATAGAGCGGGCCTATAAGCGTCAACACCCACACTGCCCACCACTGCCATACGGGCGGTTGCACGTACCCACATGTGTGAAGAATCGAGCAGTGGACGAAGAGAGCCGTAGAGGCGAAAGGACGCCGGATGACGGACAGGGTGTCGGATAGGACGACGATGGTGGATAGGATGATAGATTGGATATCGATCTAGGACGATACGGCGGCATAGTACTGTACAATGCGTGGGAACGTAGTATACATGACTAAGCATACTGGTAGTGCCTCGGATGAGGGCGTACACCGGGACACTAGGAACCAACAACATGCACACGACGACAGCGCACATTCATCCTCGTGTTGATGTCCCTCGCGCACGCGCGTAGGAACGGCACGACGCGCTCGCTCGAGCCGCGGAGGCGCCGCCCAGTCGCCCGGAGAGCGCGACGCTCCCGACGCGCTCGCGCCCGAGGAAGTCCGCGAGGAGTGGATCCCTCGCACACTCGTTGCAGGCAATCCGTCGGACCATCCACGCAGCGTGCGCTTAAGCCTGATCGCGGTGGGGTTATTGTGCGAGTGCGGGGACGCAAGTGTTGAAGTGGCCGAGCTTCCGCCGCATCCGCTCCTCCTCGGAGGCGACAATGCGCGAGAGCTCCCACATACAACCTGTCAAACGCCAATCAGCGTCGGCATCCCGTTCAACAGGTATAAAGGGGGAAAGGGGGTGTGCGAGAGGGCAAAGCGAGACCGCAGACCCACCTTTCGCGATGGACTTGGACACTCGCATGCACTTCTGGAAGCGCGGGAACCGGGGTGACGACTCCACGCCCTCATCCTCTGGCACATCCAGCATCTCAACGTCGTCCACCGGAGCGCTCCCGGCTGTGATGATCCCCTCCTTGCCCGACAACAGCGCGAACGCGGGCGTACGCCGCAGCCGCTGGAAGAGCCTGTTGTCCGTTGTGTGCAGACAGGCAAGCCGCCGGAGCTCGTCCAACGTTGTGTTCATGAGCGGTGCCATGTGCATCAGGAGCGCCGTCACCACCGTCGACGAGATACGAGGTGATTGTCTTGAACATGAGCAGCAGTAGAGAGGGGTGTGCAGGTCCGTGAACATGGGTGGGACGTGCGGCAAACTTGGGTACTTGGGAACTTGTTTCAATGCAAGAACATAGTGGGAACTCACCAGATCGCAATCCGCCTCATCCATGTCCATGACCATCCACTTGATTTCCGCCGGGCCACTCTTCAGCTAGCCCATCTTCGAGCTGAGGGAGGGGCTGAGGGACTTGTGTGTGAGCCCCATGAACTCGAGGAGGTAGATGAACCACTCACCACGTAATGGCACGCATCAAAGGCGAGAGCAAAGGTGTGGAATATGCGGGGGATAATCGGCAGGATGTCGCAAGAAAACGTGTGCATAGATAGACCACAAACTCACCGGTACCCTTCTCCCCAATCTCAATCAGAGTGGTGGATGTATGCGCACATAGACATGAGGTACTGGCGAGTGAATAAGTGGGCTGTCATTGTGTGGGATGGGGAAGGTGAACGGCGCATATGGAAACAAACAGATAAGGTGAGGGCGACAAGACAGATGGGAAGGAAGAAGAAGGGCTGGTGAGGACACGACGGGACTTGGCCGTGAATTTTTGTAGCCGCCCGATCACGTGGTTTCCGTGCGCATACTACTTCCAGCCCTCACGCGCACGGCTCACGCCCACCTCGCTTCCACCCGCGCACTGTCTGTGCACTCTATACGGCTATTGTTGCAGATGTAAAAGCGTTGGATCATCATTAACCTAACATTTCCAACAACACCTGGTATTTTTTTCACCACCTACCGGGATTTCATTGGAATGACTTGCATAGGTTTGCGAGACATTGGAAAGGCTTGGAATGTCCTACGGACATTCCAAGCTTTTCCAATGTATCGGAGGTTTTTGCTTTTTTGCTGATGAAGTCCCCGCGCTTTGCTCAAAGACCCTTCATCTCGTCGTGGTATGGGATGCATTCTAAAAACTTTCCCGCATGGCTGCCACTCATAAAGATGCTTCGTTTGAGCTAGGTCCGGCGGCGCTCGGTCGGTCTGCATTCCGCGCGGACACCGACAACTCAGAGGTCGAAGAATGGCTAGAAAGATGTGCGGTAAGTGACGCTTCACGAGTCATCTGCATTGCTACTGCTACCGCCGCAAAGGGGCCCTCCGCGGCGGTTGGCACGGCGACGACCACAACGAGACACGATATTAGAGGCGTCCGAGATCGCGCGCGGCCGCCTGTCCCTCAGCCGCAAATGGTGGCAAGTGCTCGCTGACGGGCGCGACCACCTCTAAGTGTGCCTGCGACGTTCGGACTGGATCCAATCTTGAAGCTCGGAGAACGACGCGCTGCAGTGCTCACGAGAAACAGGTACGCATCCTTCAGTTCAATGCGCAATCGCCGGGTGGCGGCAACGCATGTCATCGTGTTTAGGTCATGCCGATCGTCGAGTGCAACGGCTCACGGCTGAAAGATGATGACATGAGACGACGACGACTGAGTGCTACACTGTGCTACACCATGATGCAAGATACTCAAGCGACCGATGCGCTCATGCTCGGTACCACCCGGGCTAGCATTCCAAACAACCCGGTCCGTGCCCTGCATCACCCGCATGCCATGTTCGTCAGCCGCACACAAGTGTGTGATAGTCGTTGTACGTACCTTCTGGTTGTTGATGGGCATGCTCTTCATCTGGCGCGTGAGCCACTCGTGAGAGGTCCATGCGAGGTCGAAGATCTCGCGCAGGTTCGGTGCGATGTGGGCGACCGTATCGCCGATGATCGCGCGTTGATCTGCGAGCGCAGCCATCTGGACGCTGTTTCCGGGTCGAGTGGAGTAGACGAGGGAGTATCGCTCGTACAGCGCCAGCTGTTCTCCAGGAGGAGGTCTGTTCAGATCTGTGTCAGTGAAGACAGAGTGCGCGTGAGACAGGACGCTTACACGACGCGGTGGAGGTTGGACCTGAGAAAGCCACCGCTGAAGATTGTCAGTGCATCTCCGATCGCGTGGCTGGGAACAGGCTGTATCTCGGCGAGACGGCTGACAGCTCCATACCAGCGCGATCGTGCGAGGGATACCTACCTTGCCATACCGCCACGTCCGCGTGCCGGCAGCCCCCCAAAACAGTCGCGCAAGAACGACAGGTTGCCAAAGTAGGTATGAGCAATGAGCGTCGCCTTGGCTTCGTCGGTGCCCTCGGACGGCCCGCGCGGCCGGCTCCGCGTGACCCGCACCTCGCTCCCGCTCCACTCCTCCTTCCGATGCATCCATGCGGTGCGCGGCAGCCTGAGCTTCTCGTTGAGAATCGCGAGCATCGTCCCGTTCACCTCGATCGCGCGCCGGACGAAGGGACCCACCGCGTCGCCCATGCGCACGTTCACCGGGGCAGGGTAGGCATATGGCGCGCGACCATAGGACACAAGCGCGTCCTCCGCGGCGACGTTGAGGAACTCGGTCGTTTTCCCGCCGGCTGTCCGTCGGGTGTATCATCTTGCGGCTGAAGATGTTCGTAGTTCTGCTCAGGGGGCGCGCGAAAGAGCGGCTGCACCTGGGACCACAGTCCACAGAGTTTGAGCTGTATGCGAATAGGATGGGCAATCACGGTCAGCCCTTGGCAACAGTGCACATCGGCAGGACAAGACACACCTTGTATTTTGTCATCCGCTGCTACTTGACCTTCCTCAATAGCCCACTCCATCACCGTCACGCCGGGGTGTACTTCCTCGGTGGTGCGTTGGCGACTGCCGCAGAGATGCGCTCGCTCTCCGCGGACAGTGCACGCAGCTCGACGGCGTCGTCGTTCGGGTGGATGGTACTGGGCTTGCTCCCGCGGAGGCGGGCTGGGAAAGGAATGAGACGCGGAGCATCGGTGCGTCGTGGACAAACTCAAACGACGCGACGAATGTTGGAGCACAGGATGCCGCCAGAGAAGATGTCGAGGGCGTCGCTGATGTTGCAGATTGCGTATCCGGGCAGAGGCTGAGCGACGGACGACTAGGTGAGCATGAGCGCGGCGAATCGGGTGGGATCAATGACCTTGACGTAAAACTACTACTGGTCAGACCCGGGCGGGAGCACCTGCAAGCCGCCGAGGCGGTTGTGCAGCAACGACTGGGGAGAGCGATGTCGGTACAATGCAAGGGCATACAATGCAAATCACTCACCAAGGACCCAAAGTCAATGTGCACCGTCAGCAAGGTCTTCGCCTCCGGCCCAGGATACGACGGCGCTCTGATGAACCGTGCCGTGCATCCGCTGAACCCCTCGACCTTGTGCAGAGACGCGAGCGAGCCTGCAGGGAGTCCGAGCGTGTCGGTGAGGACGCCGATGAGGTGGTTGCTGATCGCGAGCGAGTTCTTCACAAACGGCGTGACGATGGACTCCATCGGCGCGTTGACGGCGGAGGGATACATGCGGCGCGCGACGGCCGGCCAGGCGTGCGTGTCGTCCTTGAAGATGTTGACAAACTCAGGTACGTCGCGCGTGCCTTTGTCTGCCTTGTAGCCGCGCCGATGCGGAGGTCGGTTGGAGAGAACGTACCCGAACGAAACACCTTGGTCTCCCTGCTCAAAGAGGAGCTTCTCCTAGAGGGTAAGAGCGATCGTCTCTTCGCCCATCGCAAACATACCTTCCGCTTCCTCGTGTACGCCGTGGTTCATGAGGCTTGGGACGGATCACCGGTTAGTCGTAACGTTCACTCAAGCACTGCGCAGTCACTCACTACCAAAACCCCATCTCCGTCGCAGCCCTCCAGAGCCTCTCAACCTCATGCGCATCTCGAGCTCACAGTCGATCACGAACAGGACAGGTAGGGACATCCTGAGGGAAAGGCGGGCAAGGTTTCAGACCAGGCATCGCGACACAGACTCAGGGAGTATGCATCGCAGCGTACCGATGCCCCTTGAGTTCATGAGAAGGGTGTCGGCACTCCGTACTCCGCGAGAAATGGGCCAAACTTGCAGCATTATCTCATGACTCGGAGAGGGATTAAGTGGCGAAGCAAAAGCAAGGCGCGTCTCGGTGGGGGTTCCGCGGGGCAAGATAGATGTGGGTGTCGAGCGGTTCAGTGCGTGTGGAAGAGAGAGTGGATGTCCGAGCCGAGACTCGAGAACGCGGCGCCAACACACGCGACGGCTGATGTAAGCGATCGGGTCCGACTCGTCGCTCGTGTGCAAGCCACATCTTTCAACTTGTTCTTCAGCCAAGGTGCGCTTCTACTTATATCGATGGCGAACATGCGTATATGTTCGTGCCACCATCCTCGGACTTGTTGGAGCTGACGTCCCCCCTCCGTGTTCAGGTACTTCGTCGCCACAGCGACGCATACTTCTTGGAGCACTTGAACGCAGGCTGCGGGACCGCACGAGTGGAAAGAATTTGACGCGACCACATGAGCCACGACCCTCGACAGGCTGGCCGCACGATCGAGCTCCTTGACGAGCACACAACTCGACCATGTGGCATCGGAAAGCTCTCGCGCCCTCCGCAAAGGTCGACGGAGTACACCCGCCTCGATGGACAGCGGCGACGCCTCGCGAACTGCGCGTTGCTGAAAACTTGGCCGGCCCCATGTGCCGCGAACACGAGAGCGGTGGCGTCCGTTGAATCCCGACGCCGGCCGTACCAAAATGTGTGCGAGCACAGTCATAGCGAGGTGTGGACGAGCCTTTTGGAGCGGCGGCCCTCTGATTCTGCCACGTCTCCCCTCGACGACGCCCCACGCGGGTCAGTCTGCGTGGGATTGCGGCCACAAGTACCCAGCACGACCTGGCTCCCGCCTGCTGCTCGCCGTCGCGCCTCAACCGCCGGACTTCCTCTCCGCCACTCCGCGGCTCTCCGTCCTTCACGGCTTCATCCTCTTGATTCCCAACGCACGAGAAAAGACGTTCCTCTCGACGTCCCTCCAGACCGTGCATCTTCCCGCCGAGCACACCGTCATCGTCACGCGCTGCTCCCAATAGCGCGCCGTCTCTTCGACGCCCTCCGCCTCGACTCCCTGCGGGCACCTCTCCACCGGGCGCATTCGGCTGCTCTCCTGGCCCTTCACCACCATCTCGACGCGTCTCCGGCGCCCACGCGCGTGAGCCTCGACGCCTCACACGATGACCTCACTCGAGTCGTCACCTCTACCTCCAGTCGCGGGCACCTGTGATGGCACCCCCGCTGCGACCGCACACCCGACGCGCACGCATTCCCCGCGCGCTGGCCCGAGCGTGGCCTCTCCTCCGCCCCCTTGCTCCCCTCCGCGCGCGCTGCGCCTCTGCCCCGAGACCGACGCATTACTCGCGCTTGCCACGCTCCTCAAGCATCCAACCGCCCTCGAATTCGCGCGAAGCCCCTACCGTGCGTCTCGGACTGTCTCCGCGACGACTCCTAGTGGGAGCCACCACCGCATTCCTGCACGCGGTGCGAGCCGAGCCGGACGCGGGGGAGGCGGTCTGCTCGGCCCTACGCATGCTCGCGCTCGAGCTGTACCCGCCGCGATTAGGGAATAGCACGGGTCGGGTACGGGTAACCAGAGCGTACCCTTACCCCACCCGCGACGTACCCTGACCCTCGTCTGCGGGTACGGGTTTTGACGAGCACGGTACCTTTCATCATTGCTGGTGCGCAGTAGACGTGAGCGTTTCATCAGCACCGGGGGACATTGTCATGCAACAGGAAAGGACAGACGTATGACGAGCTAGGAGATGTGACCATTGGGTTCATAGCACACGCGTTGAGGTAAGATGGGATATCGCGCGTTCGCTCACCGCTAATCCCGTTGCATAGGCCCCAAGCGACCAGCTTGTGCGCATAGAAGACATCGCGCGCTCGCGCCGGCAGCCGCGTGCTCTCGATCTCTTTGAAGCGGACGTGCCCGAGTTAATAGAAGATCAGGAGGCCGGGTATACTACTACAATGGTGAGAATAGGCAGAGTATAGCGACACAGATGGAGAACTGACAACAGCACTCGCTCAGCGGGGTCATCCACTCTTGAGAACACGATTCTCAGTGCGCGCAGTCCTGAGTGCTGCTTGGGTTGTAAGTGGGTGCACTGGAACTTGTTGGACTTTTCTCATACTGACCACCATACCTCCTTATAACGGGCCTATCGACTGATACCCTCGCGCTGTCGCCGTACGGTGCAGGCGCACGAGCACAACATCTTCAACCAGCGTAGCGCCCGCGCGATCATCTCCGCGTTCGGACCTCGTCTTCGCGCATCTCGTCTATTCCGCCTCACGAACATATCGGGACCCGCACGCAGCTATGTTATGAATATTGCGTACGCAAAGCTCATGGAGCTGTCAAGACGCGACGCATGCGAACGCACCGCAGCGTCCTCCGTGCACTCTCGCGATCTACTCCGCGCACACTCGATCACCACTACCCGCGGCGCGGCGCCCTCTCCCTCTCGCAATGGCACTCCGTAGCCGTCATCGTATGTCCTCTTATCACTTTATTGCCTATAAAACGATCCGGAACATCCACGTTCTTCGTCCCCTTTTCATTTCTCTCTGTCTTGGTCCACCTCCATCCATCTCCACGCCCTCTCTAGCTTCTTCTGCAGTGTCCCCAGCGCCACGGATTTGTAATTGGCTTCGGTACAGTATCTTCTACCAGATATGCCCTCGCGCCGCGCGCGCTGTATGTATGTAGGCTATGAGTCAACTTTCTATTCTCGCATGTGCGGTGTGCTCATCCAGCTTCGCATCGACTTCTTCTCCCTACACCTTGACCTCGCCCTCGCCCACGCCCACGCCCATGACCTCGTCCTGACCCTCGCCCTCGCATCCTTCATCATCTCGCCTGCCCGTGTGCGCGACCTCGTCTTCCCCGCGTCTATTCCCCCATCCTCGTCCACTTCGTGCGCCGCGCGTTCGCCCTTCACGCGGGGCGTTGTATCTAGCTTCTCGATCGATTTCCCGAGCCTCGCGGTTACGCGAGATCGCTCCCTCGCCCTCACCCCTGCCATCGACTCTATGACCCGTCGCATCAGCGTGCAACAGCATCGTCACTACCGTTCCATGCGCGATGCCAGCGATAGATGGAACTGTTAGTTGGCTCTAGAAAATATACGGTGATGTTTACAATAGGCTGCGCTCTACGTCTCGTACCACCAGACCTGAAGCTGTGCACAAATCAATTTCTTCGTCTTCCATATCTACTTGACAAAGCGGAATTTCACTTGCAGCGTTTCTCTACCCAACGGACTGGGAGAGAACGATAACAAAATTGTCCCAAACCAATACATCTGTCGGCGCTCCACTGGCCATGGTCCGTCCATGTCGATATGATCCGTTTCGCACGAATGTACAGCCGCAGCGGCCGGGGCTCTTTCACCGCGGTAGGACCAACGAAGGGTGCAGAAGTGTGGTCGGTGTGGTACGCCTGGACCTGGCGTCTCCGTGGCGATCCGGGATGACAGAGAGGTTGGCCTGGATGAGCGTGGGCCACGGTTGTCGATGACGGACTCGATACGAGAGCATGTCCCAAGAACGACAACGAGCATTTCATCCCGCGGCAACCGGGAAGATTTGAAATAAAGGGAGACGTCTTCGGTGGAAGAAGGCGACGGCAGGGTGCTTCCGTCACCGTCGAAGACCATTTTAATGTTCTGGAGCTCGAGGAAGTCGCGAAAGACAAGGTGAAAGAGGGAGCCGGTGGTGGCAGATTCGCAGAAGCGCCTCAGTGACTCCATCCCTGCGGTTTCGCCCCCGGAGAGGCCACCGGTGTACGGAGGGAGGGCTGCAACGCGGAGATCGGTCATCGTCCAGCCATGTGAGTCGATTGCCGTGCTTGATTCCCGCAGAGACACAACAGGGCTCTCTGTGGGCTGGTATAGCGGAGCAGCGCCAGCGTTGACTTCGTCGTCCACCCTTTCAAGCAAGAGGAAGACGGGGTCTGGATCTCGGCAGAATAAGTCGACGAGGAGAAATCTCTCTGTATCATCCAGAGGTAGAACGGCCGTGTGGAGCTCGATCCCGCCTGGTGACACGGAAAACGTGGGAGCACGGAGTTCTGTGGTCGTTCTTGCAATCGAGCCCTGCTAAAATGGTCGTCAATGTAGCACAGCGTAGAATGGCATCCATACCAGCGTACCTCATTTTTTCCTCTCTGGGAGCGTGCACCTGGGTGGTAGAACACCGTAGGAACAGGGCGGAATTGGCCACTGAATGTCGGCGAAGGCTGAAGGGGGAGAAGATGGCGACGAGTTCGTTGGAACACTCTCCGGAGAACTGATTGGAGGCCTCTCAAGTCGTCCTCATACCGTCGTGTTCCCAAGAGAAAAATCGAAGGATCCTGCGAGGTCTTCGAGATCTCCATGAGGAGCCGGCAGAATGCGAGCCGGCCTTCGCCGTAGAGCGTCGGCATGTTGACCCCGAAAAGCCCGAAGAGGCTGTAGGCGGCGTCTTCCGGCCTCGTGGTTTCCCGATGCGCCGCCCAGGATATGCGCGTCGCGATGCTAGCGTCGGTGAATGGGCTCTTGAAGCGGAGGACTGCCGCAAGGATACCAGTTGCCCATTCTAGGCGCTCGGCGAGCTCGTACTTGGTGCCCAGACAGGTCCACTCCTTGGAATAGAACACGAGGACGCGGGACGCGATGAGCTCTTGGAGAGTCCAGCCCCGCGAGTGCCAGCGGCTTCCGTGGAATTCGGTGCGCCACATCTTGTCTGAATATTCGACGTCGCTGAGGTAGACGTAGCAGATGGCGGAGAGGGCGTAGTAGCGGAACATGGAATTGATGCCTTCCGAGAGCTCGGCGCTGCTCTCCTTGTTGATACAGCACGTGTCGACCCAAGCGTACTCATGCCCGTACCGTTCGGCGAGCTTAAGGAATGATTGAACTTTTGGAGTGAGGCGATCGCGTGGGTTGAACCATGGCGGTGACGACTGGACGGGTGTAGGAGTAGGGGAAAACGGTATCGCAGGGGCACGTGGGTCTGAATGTGTCGAGCGGCCTTGGGTCGAGTCGTATGTCAGCGCCGACTCGGAGGATAAGTGAGATTTAATTACACTGACCTGGCACGCATTCAACGGTATCGGATGCTCGATTCCCTTCGGTAGAATCACGGACGACGGGGGAGGAATTGGTATGGCAAGGAGGAGTCAACTGAAGTATCTGCATGATCTGGGATTCCACCCGATGGAGAGCATCTTCCAAGTCTCTGCGAGCCGCAGATTCCCTTGAGACTGCTTCAGAAATTAGAGATCGGAGCTCGGCTCGGGGCAAGGGACGTTGGTCTTCTGGGGGGAAGGTGCTGTTGGATTCTGCGTTCAACTTTCGAACCTTTTGAAACGTGTCTTCTCCGTCCGCCTTGAGCCAGGTGTGTGAGAGGATGGCATAGCCTTCACAAACGTCTTCTGGCTGGGGAAAGAAGACGAGGTTCGCGCGCGCGGTGCCCAGGAGCCACATTGCTTCTTTCACGAATATTAGCACGGGCGTGTCACGCAAGAGCAAGCACTAATACCGGGTGAGAGTGGAGGTGCACAATTCGCGGGAGAAGTACAGACACTTGGGGAGCATGAGCGAATGCGATACAGAGCATCGGAAGAGCGGACGTACGATGAGGACGTGAGATGGGTCGAGGGCTGAGGCAAGACAGAAGAGGCCAAGTTGCGGCGAGGGCGACCCCAGTCTCAGACGCCGACCACACGTTCCACCATGCGGAACATGCACGCGATAGCGTTGGAGCGCCTCCGATGCTTCTCCTGAGAAATCAAAGCGAATAGAGTGTGGGCAGGCTGGCTTTGCGCTCCCAGGGCGAGATGACGTTCCCTGCCACGAACATGTCAGGCTCTGATACCGTGCGTGTCCACCATTGGGCGAAGCTGAGAGATATGTCATTCGTCGCAAGGTACATGATGCGGTTCGATACGCAGATGTTCGCCGACGCTTGGATCGCCGGTGTAGACGTCTCTGGCAGTAACTGCGAGTGCCTCAGCCGCGCTCGTTATAAGTGACAGTGTATGCGCGCGAATGGGCACCGGATGCCAGCGGGGTGCGAAGCGGGGGATCGGAGAGCGACTCAACGCCGTCTCCAGGAAGGACAAGCGCGATGCTCTAGATCTCCCGGTCGCACAACACTGGTTTGAGCGGAGATGAACACCCCTGAGATAAATGGGTCAGCTGGTCCCAAGCATGCGCAAAACATACTGTTGCGATTCAGGCAGGTCCGCGGCAGTGCCTTGCCGCGTTTTCGATGACCCTATGCCACGGTCCAGGCGGGTTGTGTACAGAAACATCGCCCGGAGATGTTTGGACCGACGATCTTCGGAACCTCAATCGGTCACAGGAGCATGTCCGCGTGAATAGCCAGATTAATGATACTGAAGAGCGGAGCAACCGGCATCAATATCCAGGAGTAGCAGCTTGAGCGCAGGAAGGAAGTGAGGAGCTAGATGCGGACTCACATGATCATCGCGGTGCACCCGGCCACGCGCGCGATAACGCATGTCCAGGCTTAAGACGTACTGAACAGAGGGTTCCGGAATCAGGCTCGAAACAGCGAGAAACGAGGATTCGGTCGTGGTGCGGCTCTAGACTCGGAGGGGAAACTTCGAGGGGAGCTTCCACAGACGATATGCGCCGCGTGTTTTGCGGGGGACGCAATTGGCTCGATACGCAGGCACCAGCGCCAACCAGACCACGGTCCGCATTCTGTCGGTATCGGCGGCCGTCTCTTCCTCGTTTGCTCCAGGCGTTCATGAGCGATATACCGTCTTCTGTTCCCGCGGCGTTCGTTACTCATGCGGAAGGGGATCGTGGCGTTGTCCCCCGCGATGCCCGTAGACACGGGTGCTGCGGCGGATTGACGGACTCAAGGCGGCGGAGCGCATCGGGCGCACAACGCGCACCCCGTCTTCGTCCTCCGTCTCGAGACGCTGCCCGCAGACATGTGCATGAGCGTCGCCGTGCGCACGGCAAGCAGAGGACAATCTGCAAGCGCCGATGACGACGCGCCTGTTTAGGCCTTGCGGACCGGCGAGCGCCTGACACCGGAACACCCGCAGGCTGGAGGCGCAGGTGCTACGCTCTCTCCTGCTCTTCGTCCGCACTTCTCCTCTCCAGCTGTCTCAAGCCTTGCACCTCTTCCCTGGACGTGGACGACACGCTCTTGTTTCCTCTCGTTGGTCCTCGCGTAGCCAAGTTCCAACCCTTTGAGACCAGCATGAGTCGTCCTTAAAGGGTGCGTTTTTTTTTCAGTTTGCGTATCGTTGTGTCCACAGATACTGAACAGGCTGTCTAGCTATCTCCCCGGCTGTTGATGGCAGATCTAGGCTCCTCCACCACCTGTCGTCGAATCCAGATTAGTATGTATCTGCCATTATCTTCATTCTTTGTCAGAGCCCCTCTGCACTGGGTGGCGCCAGAATACCCTGCCACTGGCGTTCATATCAATGACAACATACACCGCTACTGGCGTTCGGATAAGCTCATATGAGTGGGCGCTCTATACCTGCTACTACCGTCTATATGTACCACATAGCCACACATATGAGTGCCCTCACACCCTGCCACCTATACATATTATAAAAGTGGCTGCTTATATGAGTGCATTAGTGTCTTTCCCTCATATGAACTTTGTAGCGCCTTGCCACTCATATGAGCTCGTCCCCTCATATGAGCTCGTCCCCTCATATGAGCTCGTCCCCTCATATGAGCTCGTCCCCTCATATGAGCTCGCCCCCCTCATATGAGCTCGCCCCCCTCATATGAGCTCGTCTCCTCATATGAGCTCGCCCCCCTTATATGAGCTCGCCCCCCTCATATGAGCTCGCCCCCCTCATATGAGCTCATCGGCGTCTCACCCCTCATATGAGCTTATTAATATCCCACCCTTAATATGAATGCACCAGCATTCCACAGCTCCCATTAGCACATCTGGGAACTGGCATACTCTATTGCATGCCTGTGTGTATAGGTGCACCCATGCTGGAGCAATTCTTCAGCTTATCATATCACTGAGACACAGGAACTGCACTCTGAAAGGACAGGAAACTGCACCAGCTGTGCAACCGAAACAGACAGAATGGGTGCCCATTAGTTCCATTTTTATTCACACAATGCGCAAAGAGAGAGCAAGAAACCTATGATAGAAAGCGCAGGGCTCAAGCCGATCTCCGCAATCGGCAATTGACTCCCCCCGGGGGTCACCTCCGGGCCGCTAATTGACTCCCCCCGGGGGTTGATCTCCGAGTTTTTGATCACCTGTGTATCTCCGAGTTTTTGACCACCTGTGTATCTCCAACTTTTTGATTGCCTGTGTATATTGTCAGCCTTCATTACCAGACTGCCTGTATCTATTACCGAGTTTTTGGACATCTGTGTGTATTACTGCTTTCATTGCCGAGTTTTTGATTGCTGGTGCCTGTTACCGGTCCTCATTACTAACTTTTTGACTGCCTCAATCCATCACTGAGTCTTTGTTCACCTCCAGCCTTTGATACCGAGTTTTTTATCACTGATATTGGTAATATTAGATGAGTTAGTCTGCCTGTACTAAACACCCTCTCCCTAGGAAGTCACCCTTCACAGCTGCATGTGTTGATGGAAATTGACCAAGCTGTTTTCTGGGTCAGGTAGTAGCATGCAAGAGCTGTGGGTGTGCAAATCTGGAAGGCAGTAGCTGCAAAAGTGAGGGAGTAATGGGGTATGATATTCTAAAATGACATACCAAACACAGACCTGGGATGAGAGTGAATCACATCCCAGACACCTAGATATATTCACAGAGGATGGTTTAAATGCAATGCAGAAGAGAGCGCACAGAAATCAGGATTTCCGATGAAGATACAAGATATGTGTGGAAAGTGGAAGTTCTGAGAAAACACAACATGCATAAGTTCATGTGCAGACATTATATCAACAGGCTATTTGCTGCATCACAATTGGGTACTATTGGGGTGCTCAGATCGGAATTTGCAAGCTTATCGGTGATGATATGCATATGGGGCACCATATGTCATTATTTCATGACATACAGTATCCTGACACAGCATATGCTCCGATTAGAATGCTAAGACATGGAATATAACGGGGTAGAACATAGCTATCCAACGCAGAAAAGACCTTGAAAAACGGTTGAGAATCAGTGGAGATGTGCAAGGTGAGCCAGAAGTGTGGTTTGCGTGAAAAGCGAGGTCAGAGTCATTCAGCAAACCACACTTCTGGCTCACCTTGCACATCTCCACTGATTCTCAACCGTTTTTCAAGGTCTTTTCTGCGTTGGATAGCTATGTTCTACCCCGTTATATTCCATGTCTTAGCATTCTAATCGGAGCATATGCTGTGTCAGGATACTGTATGTCATGAAATAATGACATATGGTGCCCCATATGCATATCATCACCGATAAGCTTGCAAATTCCGATCTGAGCACCCCAATAGTACCCAATTGTGATGCAGCAAATAGCCTGTTGATATAATGTCTGCACATGAACTTATGCATGTTGTGTTTTCTCAGAACTTCCACTTTCCACACATATCTTGTATCTTCATCGGAAATCCTGATTTCTGTGCGCTCTCTTCTGCATTGCATTTAAACCATCCTCTGTGAATATATCTAGGTGTCTGGGATGTGATTCACTCTCATCCCAGGTCTGTGTTTGGTATGTCATTTTAGAATATCATACCCCATTACTCCCTCACTTTTGCAGCTACTGCCTTCCAGATTTGCACACCCACAGCTCTTGCATGCTACTACCTGACCCAGAAAACAGCTTGGTCAATTTCCATCAACACATGCAGCTGTGAAGGGTGACTTCCTAGGGAGAGGGTGTTTAGTACAGGCAGACTAACTCATCTAATATTACCAATATCAGTGATAAAAAACTCGGTATCAAAGGCTGGAGGTGAACAAAGACTCAGTGATGGATTGAGGCAGTCAAAAAGTTAGTAATGAGGACCGGTAACAGGCACCAGCAATCAAAAACTCGGCAATGAAAGCAGTAATACACACAGATGTCCAAAAACTCGGTAATAGATACAGGCAGTCTGGTAATGAAGGCTGACAATATACACAGGCAATCAAAAAGTTGGAGATACACAGGTGGTCAAAAACTCGGAGATACACAGGTGATCAAAAACTCGGAGATCAACCCCCGGGGGGAGTCAATTAGCGGCCCGGAGGTGACCCCCGGGGGGAGTCAATTGCCGATTGCGGAGATCGGCTTGAGCCCTGCGCTTTCTATCATAGGTTTCTTGCTCTCTCTTTGCGCATTGTGTGAATAAAAATGGAACTAATGGGCACCCATTCTGTCTGTTTCGGTTGCACAGCTGGTGCAGTTTCCTGTCCTTTCAGAGTGCAGTTCCTGTGTCTCAGTGATATGATAAGCTGAAGAATTGCTCCAGCATGGGTGCACCTATACACACAGGCATGCAATAGAGTATGCCAGTTCCCAGATGTGCTAATGGGAGCTGTGGAATGCTGGTGCATTCATATTAAGGGTGGGATATTAATAAGCTCATATGAGGGGTGAGACGCCGATGAGCTCATATGAGGGGGGCGAGCTCATATGAGGGGGGCGAGCTCATATAAGGGGGGCGAGCTCATATGAGGAGACGAGCTCATATGAGGGGGGCGAGCTCATATGAGGGGGCGAGCTCATATGAGGGGACGAGCTCATATGAGGGGACGAGCTCATATGAGGGACGAGCTCATATGAGGGGACGAGCTCATATGAGGGGACGAGCTCATATGAGGGGACGAGCTCATATGAGGGACGAGCTCATATGAGGGGACGAGCTCATATGAGTGGCAAGGCGCTACAAAGTTCATATGAGGGAAAGACACTAATGCACTCATATAAGCAGCCACTTTTATAATATGTATAGGTGGCAGGGTGTGAGGGCACTCATATGTGTGGCTATGTGGTACATATAGACGGTAGTAGCAGGTATAGAGCGCCCACTCATATGAGCTTATCCGAACGCCAGTAGCGGTGTATGTTGTCATTGATATGAACGCCAGTGGCAGGGTATTCTGTCGGCATGCGCTGCCCTCTGAACTCCGGTTCCGCTCAGGACTGTGGCCACCTCGTCAGATCGGTGACCACCCACTCTCCACAACCATCCGACGGACTGGGTCGTTTGGGCGAGAGCGTCCGGTGGCTGAGGTCAAGAGTGAGTCCACAGCCGCACCCTCTCCCCATACCGCGACCAACGCCTACCCTGCCCTGTGGCTGATGTCGATTGCTTACCCTCGCAGTCGCCGTGTCCTCTCAGACGTGCGCGCTCTCGTATGGTTGCCATCGGCAGGCGATGCCAGTCGTACAGTCGCATGTTCAATGCCTCATCGAAATACAAGACGTTGTCTATGAGTGTCGACCCGTTCAACGTGTACGTCGCTCGGGAATCCCTGGTGGGTGCGCTCAGGAAGCAGCCGAAGGTGAGTTCAGGCCATCCCTTTGGTTGCCGCGTCCCGCAGCCGACGCTCCCCTGCGATGTCCATTTTGCCATGCAGTTGCTGACGGGGTCTTTAGCGAACTTTAGGTCTCGCGCTCGGACGAGAGTATGTCGCTGACTCGCTACGTAGGCTGCCTACAAGCCAGCGTAATAGACACTCCCATAGCTCCTCAACGTCTCAACCCAAAGTCAGAAGGGCAGTAAATAGTAGCAGAAGAGCTTTCTGCACTTTGGCTCCGCGCGACTGCTGAGAGGTGTGTATCGTGCTACGATCACATGGAACGACTTGTGCTGATGATGGTTCCATTCAGTCCGCACCTATAGCTTCTCTCTTCCCCGGTCTCTGCGCAATCACAACTCCTTGCATTTGCGGTTGCTCCGGGGTCTTTATCCTCGCCTGCCCGTGGGGAGATCTTCATTGTCTTCCACTACTCGGTCTCTGTTCCAGAACAACCCCGTCGAACATTCCTGTTCGACTGGTCGGAACCCACGAGACGAAGGACCGCTCGGCCAGTCTACTACCAAGAGCCTCCCACGTGCACATGGCAAGACGATCGTCTCGGGCAAGGACTATGCCGCGAAAGAACCCGACGCTTCTACTCGCGTCGCGATGCTTGCGACGGACAACACCCCGTGCATGCCCACTGCTCAGCCGGAGTCCGGCGGAGCGGCGGGTTCACCACCATCGACGCGCCTGCCGCAAGACGCAGAAGCACAAGGAGGGCTAGGGTCATCTCGCAAGCCGCGTCGGAGTTCCAGGCACACTCCAATGTGTCCAACGAGTACCGCAGAAGCTCCAGCGTCCTCAACAAGGCCCCACCCGACGCGATGGATGCCGATCCCCCGCCTCCACACAACGGCCCGACGACGAAGGACAGCGCACAGCTCACGGTTCCGGTCTCTGTCGGCCACTGCGAAGTTGATGTCCCTGTCGCCGGCTTCACCTCGAAGTTCATGGATGTCGACGCCCGCTCCCGTCGCCTCCAATCCCCACACGCTACTGCACCTGTCCGACGCGGTCCCGCCCTCCGTCGCGCGGCGATGGGCGTGTCGCCGACTGCCCCCCGCGCATCAGTTGCCGCATTCTGCCTGACAGGAGCCAGCGGCTGCACGTGTTCGAGTGGTGGCAACAGCGGCGGCTCCGCGGGTCCGAGCAGTGGGAACGCGCGAACCTCCCCGTCCTGCGGTCAAGCTCGCCAGCGATGAGCGCGTTGGACGGCACTCCCGAGTTCCGCCATCGGAAGGACGAGGAGGTCGTGCGTCAACGTCCTGGAATCGGCGTCGACGAGCTCAAGTCCTTGTCCCTCTTCGACGCACCCCGCGCCGTCAGCGGGCTATATGGTTGCTAGCTCGTCTTCGCCACCGCAGGCCGAAGCGTCTTTGTCCTCAGACCTGTCGCTCGCCGCCCAGCTGTAACGGGTCTAGAACTCATGGCGGTTGGAACTCCCGTCTCCGAACGAGTGGCACTCGCCCTCGCCCCCTGCAGTGCTCACCGCTGCCGCGGGCACTTCCTCCCCCGCTCCTGTCCTCCTCTGCCAACGCCAAGATCCACAGATGGCATTCCAGACCTCGGATGGACGCCCCTCGTCTGACGGCACGATGCGGGTCGCGGAAGCGTCGCCGCCGCTCCGCGACCCGCACAAGCTGCACTCGGACCCGTCGCCACCGTTGCTGTTAACGTACGACCCCGACCCGACCCGACCCGACCCGGAGTGTGATCAAGGACGGATGAGCCCCCGCTAGATCCGGCGCTAGAATGCCATTGTTCACCGCACGATCGCCGTGGGCTCTCCGATGGTTCAAGTCGACGAAGAGAAGCGGCACGGCAGGCGAAGCACCGTGCACACGCATCCGCGTCCACATCCTCGGCGGGACCGTCTCCTCCAGCCCCCTCGACACGGCCGCAGCCCACCGACCCTCGCCGCTCAACGCCAACCTGGGCACGCACAACCCGACGCGCTCTCTCCATCTCCCCGCGTCGCCCTTCGTGCCCCACGCATCGGGCTCCGACCACCCCATGAGCCCCGCGTGCGTGCTGTTGAAGACGCGGAGCGTCTCGGAGATGCAGTCCGGCGACCTCGCGTCCGACGCAGGCGCGAGTCGAGGACGGCAGAGGTGCGACAGAGGAGTAACTACATATCCAATGTAGTGCCATGCATGTCGTACAAATCGCAAGCGTCATGAGGTACCAAGTATATACATATATATGAGAGTCAGCGTAGCGGAGGCACTTGACGGACGGATCGCTCGCTAGTCGCGACGGTGCTCGTTGACGTCATCGCTCAGATGACATGACGGCGCCGATAGACGCCGATGCCGGTCGCGGCGCGCGCGTCGGGCACCCCGTCTCACTTGCACCCGTCGCCCGCCCGCAAGCCCTCCCGTACGACGCCGCAGACAGAAAGAAGAAGATGAAGTGTGCCGGTACGTCAGCTCATGCCCTCGCTCTTGGGCTCCTCCCCGCGCGTCCCTCACTCTTGCGCGCCCGTCCGTCGCTCCGGTGCGTCCATTTTGATGTACCCACGGCGATGACTTGGCCATGGTGCCATGGTGGAAGGCGTCGACGGCCGCAGGGTGTTTCTGGAGGGTAGACGGCGCTGGGGTCGTGTTCTGAAGGAATGGGCGCCGCTCATTCGTGCCAGAGGGACTCGAGGAGGCGTGACGACGGTCCTGACGACGTCCCACAGGCGCAAGACACGCTCTATGGTGCGGTGCGCGCAAGTTCGGGCTCAAGACGCGCTCGCGCGCAGACATGAAGATCCGTACGGAACGATGAAATCCTTGGGACCAAAGCAGGGCGCTTCCAGGGGTCTTACTCGCTGTTGCTCACAACATTGCTTTTCAACGTCCGCGACGCCCACCACATTCAAGACCCGTCTCCACCACCGTCATCGACGCTCCGACCGGCGCACTCCTTACCGCAGAGGTAGGTACAATCAGGTTCGTTCCTGATTCTAATCACTACTATCCTTAGTGGTATCACACTCTTAACCAAGCCACGGGCGACCCCGCGGACCCCATCTATTCTAGCCACAAGGGTCCGCTCATCTCCTACCTGTATGTTTTTGTTATGCCCCAATAGCTCCTGGCTTCGTCTCATGATATTCACACTCCCAGTGCCAAGATCCCGGATGCAACGCAGTCGGACGTGACCGGGACTGAAGTGGTTCAAGATCGCGGAAGAAGGGCTCAAGCCCGACGGGACGTAGGCGACGGACAAGATGATCGCCAACGCGGGCAAGGTAACGCTAACCGTCCCCGAGTGCATCGAGGACGGCCAGTACCTCCTCCGCCACGAGATCGTCGGTGCGTCGGCCGCTTCGTGCGTCGTTCCCACATGGGTGCTGACCCGCGCGGCGCCCTGCAGCGCTCCACGCCGCTTCGAGCTACCCCGGCGCGCAGTTGTACGCGCAGCTGAACATCAAGGGCGAGTCCGGTGCCAAGACGCCCTCGACGGTCTCCTTCCCCGGCGCGTACGCTGGCTCCGACCCCGGTGCGGCTTTTGTTCATGGATAGGTGCCAGAGCGTCGAGCTCATTCGGCATTTCCCCCGCGCGTTCGCAGGCATCGCCATCAGCATCTACTACCCGACCGTCAAGAACCACACCATCCCCGGTGCGTTCGGTGTTCATTTTGTGCTCTTCCCCTCGGCACTCGGATCCGCGACGGGCCTCGGGGATCATGTTGACATATACTGACCTTTTGCGATGCGACGACAGGACGTGCATTGTTCACCTGCTGAGCGCGCGTGGGATAGCAAAGCTCTTGGGCCCTTCGCAGGGGTCGACGGAGTACACTCGCCTCGATGCACAGCGCCGATGCCTCACGAACTGCGCGTTGCTGCAAACTCGTCCGGCCCCGTGAAGTTCCGTGAACGAGGGCGGAAGCGTCCGCTGAATCCCGATGCTTTCCGTGCCCAAGACGTGTGCGAGCATGCACGTCGCGCGGTGTGGGCGAACCATCCGGAGCGGCCGCCCCTCGATCCCGTCACTACACGACGACGCCCCACGCGGGCCAGTCTGTATGGGATTGCGGCCACAAGTACACAACCCGATTTCGTCGCGCGTCAGCTGCAGTACTTCCTCTCCGTCACTCTCCGGCTCTCGATCCTCCACGTCTCGATCCTCTTGATTCCTAACACACGGGAAAAGAAATTCCCCTCGACTCCCCTCCCAACCGTCCATCTTCTCGCCGCGCGCACCGTCATCGTCATGCACTGCCTCTAATGGCGCGCCGTGCTCACTCTCCTCGACGCCCTCCTCCTTCCGGCCGTCGTGCATGTCTCCGCCAGCACATCCAGCCACCTAGCCCTCCACCACCGTCTTAACGCGCCCGCGCGCGTGAGCCTCGACGCCTCGCATGACGACTTCACTCTCCTCGCCCCCTCCACCTTCGGCCGCGGCTGCCTGTGGTGGCACCTCCTTGCTCGCGCGCTGGCCCGAGCGCGGCCTCCCCTCCGTGCGCGCGCTGCGCTTCCGCCTCGAGACCGACGCCCCGCCCGCGCTTGCCACGCTCCTCGAGCACACAACCGCGCTTGAAGATCTCATCTAGGGCACTCCCACCGCCGCATGCCTGCGCGCGGCGCGAGCTGATCCGGACGCGGGGAAGGCTGTCTGCCCGGCCCTCCGCATGCTCGCGCTCGAGCTGTACCCGCCGCCTAGGCTCGATCATCCGGCCCCTTTTCGTCTTGACCCGCCGCCGATGCCGCGGTCGCGCGCGGACATTGTCGCGCATGCCGACTGTGGCACCTTCCCTCACTGTACAAGCTGCCTTATCATATGGGACAACCGCGGCTGTTCTTGACAGCGATCGATATCACCCACGACCACCTTTGAATCCCCTGTCTAGGTCGCTGGATCAGGCGATCTCTCAACACCCGTCGCACGATTCCGGTATTTTCTACGCTCGTTTCCCCATCCGTGCGAGGCCTCGAAGCGGGGTGACGTCACTGCGGCGTCTCATCTGGACGAAACTCAAAGGTGGGTACTAATTGAGGAGCTCCATGCGGACTCACATGATCACCGCGGTGCGCTCGACCACGCGCGCGATAACGCATGTCGAGGAAGACGTGCCGAACAGAGGGTTCCGGAATCATCGTGCAAGACTCGGAGGGGGCCCTTCTAGGGGAGCTTCCATAGACGATATGCACTGCGTGTTTTGGAGGAAAGAGTAAGTATTCGATCGAAGTGGACTCAATTGGCTCGAAACGCAGGCACCGGCGCCAACCAGACCACGGTCCGCATTCTGTCGGTATCGGCGGCGGTCTCTTCCTCGTTTGCTCCAGGCGTACATGTGTAATTCGTTTCCCTTTTCCGCAACGTTCGTTGATGTCGCAGTGGGGGACATTCGAGGCTGAGTTACTCATGCCGAAGGGGATCGTGGCGTTATCCCCAGCGATGCCGGTGAACACGACGTGGTGCTGCGGCGGGTTGATGAAGTCATGAGGCGGCAGAGCGGACTACGTGCGGGCGTGACCGTGCAGGTGGAACGGGTTGAGGAAGGAGACATCGTGGCAAGGACGCGCCGCAAGGATCCGAAGGGGACGGAAACGCGGGGGGGTGGGCACCAAGTCATGATACGAGCGCGCGGAGCGCATCGAGCGCACGATGTGCATCCCGTCTCGATCGTCCTCTTTCTGGAGACGCTGTTCACGGACGAACGTCGCCGTGCGCATCGCGACTTGCAAGCAGAGGACAATGTCGACGACGACGCGCCTGTCCAGCGGTCCGGCGACTCCGATCGCGAGCGCCAGCACGCCCGCAGGCCGGAGACACCAGTGCTACGCTCTCTCCTGCTCCTCGTCCACACTCTGCGCCAGCTGCCTCCAAGCCTCGCGCCTCTCCCCTCGACGCGGGCGACACGCTCTTGTTTCCTCTCCTTGGTCCTCGCCTGCCCAAGTCCCAACCATCTGAGGTCGGTATGAGTCACCTTCGCGGGGTGCGTTCTTTCCGTCTGCGTATCGTTGCCGTGTCCACGGATACCGAACATGCGGTTTAGCCGTCTCGCTGGCTCTTGACAGTACGGGCACCTGCACCATCTGTCACCAAATCCAACGCGGTACGTACCTGTCACCACCTTCATTCTGCGTCAGAGCCCCTCTGAACCCCGGTTCCGCTCAGGACTTCGGCCGCCATCCATTCTCCGCAACCATTCCGCGGACTGGGGAGTTTGAGCGAGAGCTTCCTGTGGCCGGGGTCAGGGGTGAGTCCGCAGCCGTACTCTCCCGCCATACCGCGACCAATGTCGATTGCTTACCCTCCCAATCGCCGCGTCCTCTCAGACGTGCCCGCTCTCGCTCAGCTTTCATAGTATGGGCGATTTCAGTACCCGAGTCGCACGTTCAATGCAGTATCGATGTATGGGCGAAATACAAGACGTTTTCAGCGCTGGTGAGCGTTGACCTGTTCAACGTGTATGTCGCTCTGGAACCCTTCGCGGGTGTGCTCAGGAAGCAATCCAGTGCTGAAGGTGAGTTCAGGCCATTTTTTTCGTTACCGCGTCCCGCAGTTGGCGCTCCTCTCCAATGTACATTTTGCCGTGCGGTTGCTGACGAGTCTTTTTAGCGAACTTCTACTCGCTGGGGGCCTCGCGCTCGGACGACGGTGTCTCGTTGCGTAGGCTGCCTACGAGCCGGCGTGGTGGACACTCCCGTAACCTCCTCGACGGCCCAACCCGAAGAGGGAAGGGCAGTGAATGGTAGTAGAAGGGCTTGCTGTGCTTCAGCCCCGCGCAACTACTGGAGGTGTGTGTTGTGCTGCGATCATATGGAACGACTTGTGCTGACGATGTTTCTATTTCGTCCGCAACTATAGTTTCTCGCTTCCCCGGGTCGACTATAGGCTAGTGGTATACAACGGAGACGATACTGCTTGCAACCAAGCCATGGTACGTTGCTTCGCTTTTTGATGCTCGATGCACTTTCTGACATATCGCACATCATAGATGCCCATCATCCTTAACCGCCGTCAACCGGCTCGAGCACGAATGATTGATATCGCAGGATTCGGATATGGCATATCGTCCCCGGTCTCTTTGCAATCGAAAATTTTCGCATTTGCGATTACTCCGGGGCCTTTCTCCTCGCCTTCCCGTTCCCCGCTTTCCGATACTTGGTCCCTATCCCAGAGCAACGCCGTCGAACATGCCTGTTCGACTGGTCAGAACATTAGGCGAAGGAGTGCTGGGCCAATCTACTTCCAAGAGCCTCCCACGTGCACACGTCAAGACAATCGTCTCGAACGAAAGAAGCCTCGGCCTCTACTGGCGTCGCGATTCATGCGAAGGACAACACCCCTCCACCGCGCAGCCGGGGTCCGGCAGAGCAGCAGGTTCATCGGCTTGACGCCGTCAGGCACACGATATACAAAAAAAAGGAGGGCTAGGTCGAAGGCCCTGTCATCTCGCAAGCTGCGTCGGAGTTCTAGGCATACTCCGGTGTGTCCAACGAGTACTGCAGAAGCACCAGCGAGGCCCCCACCGACGCGATCGATGTCGATCCCCTGGCTCCATCGAACGGCCCAACGACGAAGGACGACGCACAGCCCACGGTTCCGGTCTCTCTCGACGACCGCGAAGTCGATGTCCCTGTCGTCGGCTCCACCCCGAACTCCATGGATGTCGACGCTCCCGTCCGGTCCCTGTCGCCTCCAAGCCGCACACGCCCCTGTACCCGTCCGACACGGTCCCGCCCCCCAACATGCAGGCTTCGCCCAAACTCGTGGAGGAGGACCGTCGCGCGGCGATGGGCGTGTCGCCGGCTGCCCCCCACGCAGAATTCGAGCTTCCGCACTCTGCCTGACGGGAGCCGGCGCGTGTTCGAGGGGTGGCAATCGCGGCAGCTGCGCGGCTCCGAGCGGTGGAGGCGTGCGAGACCCCTCGTCCCGCGACCACGCTCGCCAGCGATGAGCGCGTTGGACGCTGTCCGAGCTCCAGGCTCATCGGAAGGACGGGGATGCTGTGCGTCAACTTCCCGGAATCGGCGTCGACTGGCGCAAGTCCCTGTCCAGGCTCGTCGACTGCGCCTGCGCTGTCAGCGAACGATGCGTTTACGAGCTCGTCTTTGCCGTCGCCGGCCGAAGCGCCTTTGTCCTCGGACAAGTCGCTTGCCGCCCAGGTGCAACGGGTCCGTCCACGGCGCCGGGAGGTCCAATCGTCGAAAGAGGGACATTTGCCTTCGCCCTCTGCAGTGCTCGCCGCGCGCACTTCCTCCCGTCTTCCTCCGCCAACGCCAACATTCTGCGGGAGGCCTTCCAAACCTCCGGTGGCCGCCCCCCGTCTGACGGCACGACGGACGTCGCAGAGGTAGTGCCCTACCCGCACAGGCCGCACTCGGACTCGTCGCCGCTGTTGCTATTGACGTACGCCTCCGAGCCGACCCAGCGTGTGATCCAGGACATGCGCAAGCAGCGGATGAGCCTCTGCTGGAGCCTCTTTGCTCACCACGCGATCACCCAGGGCTCTTCGATGGTTCAAGTCGACGAGGAGAAGCGGCACGGCAGGCGAAGCAACGCGCGCGCGCATCCACATTCGCATCCTCATGGGACCGTCTCCTCCAGCCCCTCACGGCCGCAGCCCATGGCCCGCCCTCACCGCCCGGATTCAACCTGGGCACGCGCAACGCAACGCGCCCTCCACCGCCTCACATCGCCGTTTGCGCCCAACGCAGCGGATCCCGCGCACTCCGCGAACCCGGCGTGCGTGCTGTTGGAGGAGCGGAGCGTCTCGGAGACACTCTGGCGACCTCGCGTCTGGCGCAGGCGCAGTTCCTGGGCGGCAGAAGTGCGGGGCGAGTCCGACCGAGCCTCGAGCTCTCAAGGAGTGCCTCGACGGTACTTGTAGACTCGAAGGATTCGAGCCGCGAGCTTCAACTCGTCCTCAACTTAACTGGACTTTCTCGCCCCCTTCAAGTCCTTGGACCCACAACTTTTTTTCCGGCACCACGGACTCGGATCGGCCGGGCGGCATGAAAACCGTGGCGTTCACCAAGCATTCACCTTCCTGGCTCTCGTGCTTTCTCTCCGAGTAGGCTGAGTCACAAGCCGCTACAATCGTGCCACGCCCTCCTCAACGATCTGTTCCTGCTTGCGTCCTCCTGCCCTATCCGCACGCTCTACATCAAGGGACCAACTTTCATCGTCAAAGCCATTCGGGCCTGTGCACCTCTCCCTCGAATATTCGACGTTGGCGTTATGGCGCGGGGCATCGTCCGCGTCATGGGCCGCGCCTGCACTCTGCAGATCGAGTGCCTAGAAGCGACTCTCATCGCCGGCTACCACGCGGCCACTCCCGCGGACGTCGACACCCCTGCAATCGTCGTACGTCCTCCAAATTCGGTTCCGCCCGCGCTCCTTCAACGCTGACGCCGGTGTTGCTCCGCAGGACGGCCTCGTCGCCGCCGTCGGGAGCCTCCCCGCGCTCCGGGTGCTCGCCGTCAGCGTCTTGTGCCATCTCCTCGCGGACCCCCCATGCGCGGCCGAGGCGTTCATGCGCGCCCTCGACCTGGACGCGTTCGCGCACCGGCTGTGCGTCGTATGCCCCACCCTGCAGACGGTCTTCGTTCTGCTCAGCGGGGTACGCGGGCGCGCGAACGAGCGTATGCAGCTTGGACCGCAGTGCACGGAGTTTGATCTGTATGCGGATAGGAAGGACAAACCCGGACACCGGGGTACGGAGGCGGTGGGGTGAGTGGATCGATCGTTGTACGTGGATGTTGGGCTGATTTCGTGCGTTTGCAGGGACGAAATTTCTGCAGAACCATGCGACGTGGAGCGTGAGGCTGGGGAGGTTTCCAGCGAGGGTGCTGTGCAGGATGAGTTGCGGTCCTCACGAGGGTGGGGACGGTGATGTTCGTCGACCCTCCGTATCGTGTCAATATTATACATACGTTGTTACCTTCGGCCCCACGCTCAGGAGGAAGCATTCAAGCTGTACCATGCGCGAAATAACAATCTGGGTTGTTGTTCATGCTGAGCATGCTCGTCGGGTACACCAAGATGTTGCAGATGGGGCATAGACTTCGAGTGTCCATAAACGGTTGGCTGCACGCGTCGTTTCTACATTTTCACGTATGGATACACATCCGCAGACGGCGCAATCGGGGTGTTCGCAACACATGTATTCATCGAGAGCTACGACTGTACATAGTACGTACACGTCGTTCGAAGCTAGTCAGATCTTCCCCTGGTTCGCCTCAGTACCCCGCCTATCCGTCCAACTCTCCGCACCCCACCGGCTTCATCAGCCCTTCGCAACAGCGCACATCGGCGGGGCGGGACGCACCTTGTAGTTCGTCACCCGCTGCGACTTGACCCTCCTCAATAGCCCACTCCATCGCCGTCACGCCGGGGTGTACTTCCCCGGTGGTGCGTTGGCGACTGCCGCAGAGATGCGCTCGCTCTCCGCGGACAGCGCCCGTAGCTCGACGGTGTCGTTCGGATGGGTGAAGAACACGACCGAGTGCCGTTCGTACTGGGCTTGCTCCCGCGGAGGCGGGCTGGGAAGGGAATGAGACGCGGAGCATCGGCACTTCGTGGACAAACTCACACGACGCGATGGATGTTGGAGCGCAGGATGCCGCCGGAGATGTTGAAGGCATCGCCGATGTTGCAGATCGCGTCTCCGGGCAAGGGCTAAGCGATGGACGACTAAGTGAGCATGAGTGCGAGGAATCGAGAGGGATCACTTACCTTGATGTAAAACCACTGGTCGGACCCGGGCGGGAGCACCTGCAAGCCGCTGAGGCGGTTGTGCGGGAACGACTGGGGAGAGCGATGTCGGTACAAGGCGAGGAAACGCAAGGCAAATCACTCACCAAGGACCCAAAGACCGTGAACCGCGCCGTACATCCGCTGAACCCCTCGACCTTGTGCAGAGACGCGAGCGTGCCCGCAGGGAGCCCGAGCTTGTCAGTGAGGACGCCGATCAGGTGGTTGCTGATCGCGAGCGAGTTCTTCACAAACGGCGTCACGATGGACTCCATCGGCGCGTTGACGGCGGAGGGATACATGCGGCGCGCGACGGCCGGCCAGGCGTGCGTGTCGTCCTTGGAGATGTTGACAAACTCAGGTACGTCGCGCGTGCTTTTGTCTGCCTTGTAGCCGCGCCGATGCGGAGGCCGGTGGAAAGTGCAAAAGCAAGCAATTGGAGAGAACGTACCCGAACGAAACACCCTGCTCAAAGAGGAGCTTCTCCTTGAGGGTAAGAGCGATCGTCTCTTCGCCCATCGCAAACATACCTTCCGCTTCCTCGTGTACGCTGTGGTTCATGAGGCTTGGGAAGGATCACCGGTTAGTCGTAACGTCGTTCACTCAAGCACTGCGCAGTCACTCACTACCAAACCCTATCTCCGTCGCAGCCCTCCAGAACTTCTCAACCTCATGCGCATCTCGAGCTCACAGTCGATCCGAACAGGACAGGTGGGGACGTCCTGAGGGAAAGCCGGTTAATTTTTCAGACCAGGCATAGCGACACCAACTCAGGGAGTATGGATCGCAGCGTACCTATGCCCCTTGAGTTCATGAGAAGGGTGTCGGCACTCCGTACTCCGCGAGAAATGTGCTAAACTTGCAGCACGATATCATGGCTCGGAGAGGGATGAAGTGGCGAAGCAAGAGCAAGGCGTGTCTTGGTGAGAGTTTCGCAGGGCAGGATGGGTGTGGATGGGGAAAGGTAGGAGGAAGTGGACGTTCGAGTCTGCCCGCCGAGGCTCGAGAACACGGCGCCAACGCGCGTGAGAGCTGATGTAAGCGGGGTCTGTTGGTCGGGTGCAAGCCACATCTTTCAACTTGTTCATCAGCCAAGGTGCGCTTCTATGTCGATGGCGAACATGCGTATATGTTCGTGGCACCATCCTCGGACTTGTTTTAGCTGACATCCCCCTCCGCGTTCAGGTACTTCGTCGCCACACTTCTTGGAGCACAACGCAGGCTGCGGGACCGCACGAATGCACGACCGTTCCATGTGGGATGCTAGCGATGAATGGAACTGTTGGTTGGCTCTAGAAAATGTGCGGTGATGTTTACAATAGGCCGCGCTCTACGTCTCGTACCACCAGACCTGAAGCTGTACACAAATCAATTTCTTCGTCTATCATACTATATTGTCGGGCATGACAAAGCGGAATTTCACTTGCAGCGTTTCTCTACCAAATGGACTAGAAGAGAACGATAACACTACTCCCCCAAACCAACGCTGCGATCGGCGCTCCACTGGCCATGGTCCGTCCATGTCGATATGATCCGTTTCGCACGAATGCGCAGCCCCAGCGCATCAGTAATCCCGCAAATGTCTGGTTGCCTGGACTGTCTGGACGAAAAAATCCAGACAGTTCAGGCAGCCGGCAGGCAGTCAGACAGCCAGGCAACTGGGGCTCAAATCACGCCTCACATTCATCCCGCTCTCCCCTCTCCACGTGCCCCCCGTTCGCCGCCCCTCTGCAGCCGAGGAACCCGCCCACCGCGCATAATGCACTCCAGCCTACTGCACGAGCTCGCCCTCCCACCTGGCTCGTCCCGATCATCCTCCAGCTCTTCCGCCTGCTCGCCATCGTCCCCGTGCGCGTCAGCACGCTCTCGAACCTCAACCTCATCTCTTGCCCCCAAACGGGCGCGTGGAGATGCGGCTCGACCACACCGTCGCTGTGCTCTGGACAGTGCGTCCACTCGTCTGTCGTGGTTGCGTGTGGGAGTGCTGACGGCGTGTGAGCAGTCAATCTTGATAGGCTGACAATGCCTGTAGATCACTAGTGCATTGCTGAAGCAGTGACGGGTGTACTACTCGCCGTTCGCCACACTCGTCTACAATGTGCGCACCCCGATCGGGACTGTCAATGGCGCGCGAAGCACGACCTTGAGACCCGCCGCCTAAATACCTCGTCGTCAGGACCTCCCATGTCCCTCAATGCGCTCGCCCGCCTCCTCGCCCTCCCCGCTGGGGACCTTCCGCGGCCTCGGTCCATCACGTAGTCGATCTGGTGGGTGTCGAGCACGCCTCCAGGGGCGCGTACCACCACCACCAGCCATAGCGCGCGCTACACACGGTCCGCGCGGAGTGGCTCAGCGTAGTGGTTGTCCGCCGCAATCAGTGTGTGCAGATGCACGTGCAGCGCAGTGAGGAGTGTGGCGAGGGTGAGCGTCGACGTGGGCGAGGGGGCGGGATCGACGTACGGGAGGTCCTGTTGGAAGAGGCGGATTAAGGGGCGTGAAGGGTGCGTGAGGGGGACGGGGGAGGAGCTGAGGTCATGGCGGGTGGTGGAGCCGTCGCCCACGACGAGCAGGATCTCGAGGGCGTGAGTGAGGGGGTTTCGGAGTTTGTGGTCCACGAGGATGATGGCGTGGTCAAGGGGATGGCCTGTGCACGAGCAACAGAGATCATGCTGAGATAGAGCGAAGGAACGCGAGAACTGGAACAAGCACACACCGTCTATCACGCTCGCATCCTCTTCCGCTGGGGGGCGAGACCGATTATCAGCGATCAGCCCTGCAGAAACTAGGTTGTTCAACAACCTTAGCATACACAGGACACACCTGTGAAATGGCACACCACGCTGTGAGAGAGAGAGCAGGAGGCGGGGACAGAGGCGAAGTTGCGGGATGAAGAATGAGAGCGTGCGAGGCAAAGCGCGATCAGACGCGCGTACGTACACGTACGCGTCGAGTGGCAGAGGCAGCCGGCGCCAAACAACGCCGCATCGATCTCTTTCCCTTCTACCGTCTGCCTCCCTCCGCACTCTCCTGCCCGGAACGACTTCCAGGCGCAGAAACCGCCATAGAACGTCCCTCAACCACCCGAGAAATAGCTTCCAACAATGCCAAGTAAGCCTGTAGTCCATACATCCCTGCAGGCGACTGACCTCGACTTAGCCATCAGAGCTCACACGGCAGGTATGTACTACCTTTCCTCACGCACACGCACCCTGCACCATCCCCCGCACGCATTTTCGCCGTCACGCCGTCCCAAACCCCTTCCAACATCCATGAAACCGTCCCTTTACCTTGTATACAGTCTGGACCCGCCCATTTTGGCGCATATATGCGCCAAAACGGGCGGGTTTTCCCTTCGTGCCATCACCACAGGCAGCAGGTCGCCTGTCAGGCGAACGTCGTTGCCGTGAACGCCGTGTTGAATGCGGCGTTGAGCTCACACGAGGGTATCCAAGGTGTGTATGTTCAAAATATGTGCATATAATCTACTTATATGTAACACGAACTCCCCTGGGACCACGTCCGACTTCCCGTGCTGGTGCTGGTGCAGTGAGCGTATGCTCCACGCGCGCCCGCCCCATGCATCGGGAGTTCCCGCGGCGTCGCCTGCACGCACAGGTCCCTGCGGCGGGCTAGCGTCCCCCACGGCGTCGACATCCCGTCCGCTACGACCATCCGGATACTGCCCCTGCTTCGTGACCCCGCGCCGGCCAGCCGCGGGCGATAGCGATGTCACGAATGACGCATTGTCGAGCTCTGGCTCCGAGTCCGGCTCGGCGCGGGCTCGCGGCGCACCATGCGCAGCGCGGATGGGCGGCGACCCCGTCGTTATCCCCACCATCGTTCGAGTTATCCGAACGCGAATGCAAGAAGACCTCCATCGCCCAGCTCAACCCATCCTTATCCTCACATCATGCGCCCAAGAGCCCGCGCGGCGCGTCCGCAAAGCTCGCGTCTGGTCTCGTCCCCCACGTTCCCCGCCCACCCGGCTCGCATCCGGTTTCGGCCGCGTCAAGCGTCCGCACCTTCCCTTCAAACCCCCCTGCCTCGTCGCTCTCGCCCAACGACGCCGTCCCTCGCAGGTGCACGGCGCATTGTCTCGACCCCGAGCGTGTACCCCTTTCCCTCCCGCGCGGCCGCGAT